TTTGCACACAGCACTGAGCGGACAGGAAGGAGTACATGTCAATGATTGGCCAGGTCCTACCCCCAAAAACATGCGTGACATCACTCGTGAGACATCATGCTGAATAATAGAAATGCAGCGATTGTAATTTTCCTCAAACCGATTCTGATTTCTACCTGGTCTGAACTGCCGATACCGACTTTTGGCTGATAATGATTTTTTTTTCTGTCTTTAAAGCTCTATAACTGACAGCAAACTGACTGTTAAGTAACAGTATTTAACAAAAAAATCTTAAAAACTGCAGCAGGTTCACTCTCACTCAAACTGATCTCCATCAAATTTTGAGCGTCGACCCCTTTACCTGTATTCTCTCCTTCATTTTAATGAAATTATTTATGGTGGAAGTTTATATACTGTATGTAAAGTAAAAGGTATTAAAACAGTCTTTATTGATAACTCTTTAGCCCAAGGTTTATAATCTAACTCATTCATAAATCAAATTATAAAAACAATGAAGCCAACTGCTTCACTCACACTGACCAGTCAGTGGCAAGCAGGCTGACAACCTGCAGATTCCTGTCACATGCCGCTCTATCGGTGCACCTTAACTGAATAATATACATTACTGCATTCTTGCGCAGTAAGCTGGTGAGGAATTTCAAAAAGCTGGTTGATAGTCATTTACCAGGTTTCAGGATCAATGTTAAGTCACACATCAGTAAGCCATACTTAGACATTTACCTCCTTTGATTTTTAAGGAGAATTAAAAAGAGACATGAAAAGGCACACTGTCTTTTTTAAAAAATACAGCAAAAGTTGGAGAAGACAGATAAAGTTAAAGAGAGAACATACTGTCTTCAACACATCTTCTTGGGAACTTATGTCAAAGTGATAGATTTAAAAGCACGATTGAGCCTAACAGGACAGTAAGATACCGGACTGGCCTCGCTGGAATGCTGCAGGCCCGACACATGGAATGCAAGTGGAAACAAAAAGATGAAAAATCTGTGAACCAGGCAAAAAGAAAAGGTCACAATCAGGGAAAACACACAGGTACTTATGCCCCGAGTTCCAGTCTTGTTACACAAGAAAAGGACTGCATCTCAATTTTCCAAGACAGAAAGTAGAGGTTTACAGAATTACACAACTAACCAAAAGACACAAAAGAGAGGAGGAGTTGGACTGAAGATAGGAGAGGAGAGGGCAGCCTACTTCGTGACAAGCCAACAATGTCATGTGATGCTGTCACATGATCAAGTGTGTTCTCCAGAGAGGATCATGGAATTACAGGTGATCAGCATAACTACAACCCATCCACACACAAACCAGCACTCCCTGTAGGCTTAGAGGAGCTGTTCTACTGGCACAGGCACATGACAGTCCTCAAACATGATCTATAAACTATATAAACTCTATAAACTCAATCTTCTCATATAGCAAATAAAAGTCACTTACAGGAACTTTTCTAAGAATTTACAATGCACAATAACTCCAGTGAAATATTTATTCTAATGTCAACAAATGTTACAACACAATAACACTTTCAACAATCAGGGTTCGAAGATGAAAAACATCAGATATCATGGATGAACAAGCATTTGTTTGATAAGCACAACAACCTCACTTTGGGGGTACTAAACACCTCTCAAGGTTCGAACTCTAGAAACTTTTCTTACCGGCAGTTCAACACTGACGTCTGTCCCGTCCAGCAAGGAAACGCGGCACGTGATGATGGACTTTGCATCCCCAGCAGCTGGGATGTGTGTAGTAGCACGTTGGGCCTCCCGTAACCGGGCCTTCTCTGCATGTTTGCGGATGGAGCGTCGCCCCAGCGTCCTGCGCAGGAAGCTCAGCATGATGGGGGAGAGGGAAGGTTACTCTACCAAACCTGTAACAGAAAGTAGATAAGATATAAACTCACATGAGTGTTGAATTTTGTATTTGTGAACCGTACAGGCCTTTAGAAGTGTAACGTTTTTTTAAACCAAAGTCAACCCATAAAACAGGTGAGAAGAGTAAAGTCAGCAGATGAGCTTTTGTGTACTCGGACCGCAGCAATATACGGGGGCCTTTGTCTTTAAACATTCAGTGAGCAAGCTGGCAATTGCCTGCTAGTTATGCACCACCAGACATTACCTGAGAAAGTGGTGCACCTGCAAACTAGTCTGTGGCACTTTGTAGTCCTTTTTAGAATCTCAAAGTCATAGTGTGCTGGCCCTTAATTACAATGATGTCCCGGCAAATACCTATCTATTAATGTGGGTCTGCTAGCAACTATTATCTTCTCTTAACAATGGGTTATTTTCAGTAATTGCTTGCCTGGCTATGAACAAAGTTGACGTTAAAAGGTGACAGGCTAACGTTTAAGTCCACATTAAACTTGAGTTAACTTGATGTTTTTGAATTAAGTGTTCTGTTTTGTTTTAATTAATGTTTTGTAAAAAAATGGGCAGATATTATAAAGATTAATCTTCTTTCTGCTCCTTTTCATTCAAAATTTGAGATTTTATGTTTGTTTGTTTTTCTTAACTTTATTGTTTATTTTTGAATGAAATAAAATTGGCAAATAAAAAAAAAAAATCAGGCAACAAATAAAAAATAAAAAATAATCATGCAACAAATAATAATAAAAAAATCAGGCAACAAATAATACAAAAAGAAAAATCAGGCAACAAATAATAAAAAAAATCAGGCAACAAATAAAAAATAAAAGATAATCAGGCAACAAATAATACAAAAAAAAAAATCAGACAACAAATAAAAAAAAAAAAATCAGACAACAAATAATAAAAAATAGAAAATGGATGTAACCGTGGGTAAATCAACATGTCACTTTTTTACCTACGAGGGATGACGATAATGCTGTTTTTATAATCACATAGATATCTATTTAATTTAAAAAAAAAATGCAACGATTAAAGATTTATTTTCATAAACAGTTTATTATATTACCAACTATAAAAAAAGCATAATTTTAATGTTTAATATTTATTCGAAGAACATGGAACTAAGACCCGTATGTTAAGGTTTAATTAATTATAAAAGCGTTTTTATAGTAGACGGCAAAGATGCTGTTTAGATGTTACAGGTTGTAGCGAGGAACCGCTGAGTTGTCCGTAGTCAGAAAAACATGAAAACAGGTGAAAATGCTTGAGACAAAAGCGAAGATAGTATTAATAAGGAAAACAAACAAAACAATTTAACTCCCCGTCTCAAAATTCCCCCAAGCTAAGGCCTGGGATACCTGGTTTAAGCACACAAGCAACAGGTGTGCGTTTGTTTTACACGCATGAGCTACCCGTTATTAACAGACCGCACTGAGCATATATCACTCCGCCCACACAAGCGGCTCTTGAACAGCAAAACAAACGCCGCCTTTAGCTGTGAGTGCCGTGTCCGACAAACACTTGCTCCGCAGCCACTTGTGGATCTGTAAAGGTCTGGAAGAAGGGGGGTACTTACGAAAAACCTCCTCGTTTGAATTCACGGTGAAAGCACGTCCGCTTGCATTGTCGACGACTAAAACGCAGCCTCGTATATTTCCATGGTTTAGATCTTGCTTCTCTTTCTTCTATTTCTCCTCCTCGGTACCTTCTATGGGGCAATTTTTCTTTTTTTCCCAGGTCCCAACAAAAAGTAGGAGGCAAAGCTCTGCTCAGGATGTGACGTCACGATAAATCCCTAACAAACCCTGATTAGCATTTTTAAAGCTACAAACCCTTTTTTTGGGGGGGAAGAAAATGGAAAAAAATATTCGTTACGAAGTAATTTTCTTACCTAATAACTCATATTAGAGTATGAGTTAACTTTGGTGTTTAAATTTAATACTAATTTAAATTTCAGTTGTAGCGTTTTATTACCAGGCCAGAGACAGCTAGGCAACTAAGCCTATACATGGACCTACATCAAATAAATTAAAATCCTAGTGTTATTTTTGATTTTATGAAATAGTTAACGTGACATTTTTAACTTCCAGTATAAAAGGATTGGCCTGCACCTTGATTTGTTTTTGATTTTTTTGTACAAACACAAACCTCAGGGTGTCGTCTATCTCTATTTGACAACAGCGCCCCCTCCTGGTTATTTTGTGAATGATAGTTGATCTGTGTGGCCTCGCAGAAACAGTCCCGTTTACCCTGAGACTCAATGGGAATTAAAATGTCATTGAACACGATAGTGTAGCAAATTGCATAGTGTGAACAGAGGCAGTGATTGAAGTGTCAAAGTGTAAATTTAAGTGTCCTTCAAATGTATTTGCCTGACTTGCTGGAAGCGTTAAGCCTTATAATAATCCAAGTGTCCAAGTATACTCAATTGACACTAATTCATGTTATACATTACATCTTTACATACATTGAAAGAGTAAAACTTGATTTATTATTCGCTTGTAACATTTTTAATCCCTCAGGTCGGTCAGCTGTCTAATACATTTGATACTCTTATCTGTGTGCTTGATCTTAAGCATTATTAACTGCAATAAATGAATATTTTTCTAGCTTCTGGTCTTTAATAACAAGTAATACACTAGATCCAAATATGCCTCAGCCTGATGGTACCATTTTAACATGACCAAATTTTTTTTTTTTTAATGATCAGACACCATAATAAATGTTGAAAGTTGGCTTATTTTAGGACAGGACAACTGTTCTTTCCTCACAATTTTAAACTTAAATCATTTTTAAAGCCTTTAGTGTGTTTGTGATGCTAGCCTTGAAATAAAAAAAAACAGAAATTGAGAACTCTGGCTACGTCATATCACTAATGGTTTAAGCATATGGTATATGGTTTAATCACATTCAAAACTAGAAACAAATAATTCTGGTTGAGATCTTCAGAGCAGGTGCCATGTTTTACACCTGCTCACTCTGGCATTGCCCAGCCTCACTTTTACAGTGTGGAAAAGCAAGCTGATCCGAAGCCACATCTCCATGCTTTGACAGACAAGCTTTAATTGTTCACAATCAAGCTTATAAACATGTCCAAAGCACTGTAAAACCATGATAGCAGAAAGAAACAAGCAACTGAGGACAAAGGTTTTTATGACACAGGTAGAAGTTAACCAAGGGTATAATACGGTAAAACATTTCTCATTATTTTGTGTTTCATTATATATACACTCGCTGTTATAGACCAGTTTCAAATAAAACAAAAACTTTGAAATAGCAGTCTTGAAATACACACCATTTGTGTCACATTTGATTTATCCAAAGGAGAAAAAAAAATCCAAAAATAAAATAAAAACAAAATCTTTCTGCTCACAAATGATTTTCCCTTTTATTTTAAAGATTTTTTTTCATATACAACATTGTATTTACATGGTCTAGTTTTATTTACACAAAATTAACAAGTGGCACTGTGTAGTTAGGAGTTCTCGTCTTTTTTGTTTTCTCGTCCCCTTACAGGTCGTACTTTGAAACAAAATAAAAATGAGAAGGAAAAAAAAAAAAAAAAGAAGTTTAACAATGCTTTATGTCTCCAACTTTTTTTCTTTTCTTCCAGTAGCACTACCTTTCACTCAGCCTTCTACAAAGTGCTGTCCTTTTCCCTACCTGCCTAGAGCCGATTTCATCTTTACAAAAATACAACTTACCCCCCGAGCCCTCCCCTTGTCTGGTCCCCCTCCAAACTACCTTTGATCAGTACCCTAAACGCACAGACAGTACCAATTATATGTCAACAACAGAACACTTTGAACACAGACGGACCACTGCTGGACATGTTGTGCAGATGGAAACCCTAGCAGCCCTGACATATCAATTATTAACTTTTTTTCAGTACAGGGCCGATGTGTTAGTTTGCTGTTAAGAATTGTCAAGGTTTTTGCGAACTTGTTACTGATGCCACTTCAGCAGGATGCCTTCAGCTTGAATTAATTTTCACCTTTTGGTAATTTACTTATTGTTGGCCCTGCTGCTGAATGCAAAAAAAAAAAAAGAGATGAGAAGAAGCCACTGGAGGCTGACTGTTGTTCTTCCAATTCTCATATTTTGCATGATTTGCAATGTATTTTTTAACTTAAATCCCCCCCCCCCAAAAAAAGATTTAAAACCAGTTTTCACTCCTTAGCTAGCTAGTCTAAGCGTGTCCTTCAGGGTAAAACAAGCTAAATCCTGTGCTACTGTACCCCATGGTATTCTGCTCAGATGTGTTATTTGCCTTGAGGCAGTGCTGAGAGAGTGGGATCCGTGTATAATGATCCAAAAAAGAGAGGCATCTGGGGTGGAACAATGAGAAGAATGGACTGTGGATGTTGCGTAGGCTTAGCTGAAATGACTGATGTTGCCTGAGAGAAGGATTTAGGAAGATTTTGGAAGAGGGCCGCAATATAGGAGAGCTAAAAAAAAAAAGGAAGAGGAAAGCATTTTCAAGGCTCTTTTTGATCCCACCTCTCCATGTGACAAAAAGTTATGATTCAGCTGTTTGATATGGAGGTATGAGCACACTTTGAAATGTTTCACAGGCAAAGATTCCGCCTGGTTCTCAGGACACACTTTGAAATGCACCATATATATATATATAAAAAAAAGAGCTCGAGATCAGGTCAGATTGTGGCTTTATAACACAACCCTTCATTCCAGTTAACAGACAAGCAGGCTTAGACCAGACAGCTAACAAACTGTGTGTTAGAAATGGAGGAGGGAGAGGTTCAGAGGAAGAGAAAATTAAAGACTGAAACCTAAACACACACACACACACACTCGAACACACACTCTCACACACTCACAGCAGTAGGTTTCTCCAGCACAATCCATGGAAGGAGTTAATGACAGCAGGTACCGAAGCAGCCAATCAGAAAAAAAGATCTCAAATCATGAAGAGGCTACACTTCATTCCATACCGATATGTAAAAAAAAAAAAAAAAAAAGAATGGCAGCTTTAACCTGTCTGTTCTTCGACAATTAAAAAAAAAAAAAAAAAAGACTCAAGGAAATCGATGCTGGGTTTTGTGAATAAAAATACAAGTCATCAATTAGTCATCACTCGTTAAACACATCATCTCGCCTTTTTAAACATGTGCCGTAAAATGACGTACCGTAGGGAAAATCCATTAGAAAAGGAAGAGGATTGGTTGAATGTTCTGTTTGAGCTGCCTTGTTGAACTGTCAACTGTTCTCAGGCAGATGATCAGACATTTAGAAAGAAAAAAAAAAAATAATCGAAAACAGGAAAGGTTGTTTTAAGAGCTGCCGCTCCAGTGACCTCTAAACCCCTTTGCAATTTCTTTCTGAAGAAAGTGTTCAGTGAGAGAATTCCTGTGAAAAGAAGGAGTCAGTCATAACTGCTTATGTGTACGCAGAGATCTTGGTTTGTCCTCAATGTCTTCTTGACCTTTTAGAAATCAATACAATACAAAAAAAGCAAGAGGAAGTGAGGAGGTCAGTGGAGGAAGCCTTTAAAGTCAGATTTCTTTTTTTCACCATTCACACTGAGGCTGAGATCAGTTCATTGTCAATTCAAAACGCAGATTTGAGTTTGAAACCTTACATGTACTGGTTGCATAACATTTTGTAGCAGCTTTGAGAACTAATTCATGGTACTGCTGTGTTTTTTGTTTCTAAATACTGTGACCAATGTCTTTTTTTTTTTTTTCAGGTTCTGACGCGCCAACTGTTCTGCTTTAGTTGTCCTCTTCCAGGAAAAGAATCAAGAGTAGAGTGAGAGGTTCATATATAAAATACAGTTGTGTGTTCGTGTTGTCTGTGTCTGGCTCAAGGACACTTCAGCAGGGAGCGCTGACTTGCTGCAGAATGCTGAAACTGTCTGCGTGTTTGAAAACAGACATGAACCGACCTCAGCTTTGTTTCTTAGCTTTGTCTGCCATGACGGCTTGGAAATATAGCTTCGACTGTAAGTCAGTGAGGCCGTGTGTTTAGCGGGGGCCTCTCTTTATGACACCGCCTTTCATTTCTTGTGTTGACCTAATGTGCTGCTGAGCTTTATGCAGCGTTAGGAGAAATGCGTTTTGATCGTTCAATCACTTCAGAATGTGATGTTTTCTGAAGATCATGTCTAACAATGATAAGTTTGTCGACTCTTTTGAGTGGTACAGAAGCGATAAGAGAGGTGTGCCCAGTAAACACAGGCCCCCCTTTAGTTTTTGTAAACCAGTAAACGTTCGTCACCACGCCAAACGACGGCCCGCCTCGGAGCGCGTGTGCCTGTAAGCTCAAAAAACACCGCACAACGCAGGAGAAAGAATAACAACTTGCCACAGCACTGAACAAAGAGGTGAAACACAAAGTGCTTTCAGCTGTCCATCTGTCAGTCTGTGCTGTCAGAACACGTAGACAAGAAAGCCGAGAAAGATAAAAACCAAGTACAATAAATTAAATAACTGTTTTTTTTTCTCCCCCCCCCCACGAAAAGCAAATGAAATCAAAGAAGTAGTTAGAAGAAGAAGAATCGCACTACTTTACTAGCTAAGATTTAATCAGGAAAGCATGAAACTCTAGATTCATACAAACGAACATACACGTTTTTTTTTTTTTGTTCAGTGGACAGGGTTTGACATAAACTAAAAACACAATAAATACTCTTTCTGAGGAACAAAAGATAAGGTATATCTCTTTATCAGCTAAAAGGACTAAAAAAAGGCAGGTCCGTCTGGCAGACTCGCTCAGAAGGGGACGGGGCGACCCTTTGGGGAGAATAAAAACAGGGGGAAAAAAAAAAAAACTTTCCATCGCGAGGGCAGCCCATCCCCTTCATACTTATGGCACTACAGCAATTCCCCATCCACCTTTTATTCTCTCGTACGTTTATCTTTTTTCTTTCTTTGAATACTTTTTTTATCTTGACCCTGAACAAACAATATCCCCCTAATGGTACACAGCTGGATTTCTATTTTTTCTTTTTCGAGCTTGTCCACGATTTTCACTTTTTGTTCGTTTGTGTTTCTTTTTTTCCATTTTTGTCAGCATAAAGTGCAACAGTGCTTTTGTTCTCTCCTCCGGCGACCCAGTATGACCCCTGAAGGTCAAGTGTCACGGGTTAGCAGGGTCGGGGTCTGGGTCAGGGTTCACGCTGGTCTCACTGGTCACGCTGGTGGCGCTTGCGACGCTTGTCTCCTCGACTTCCTCCTCCTCCTCCTCCTCCTCCTCCTCGTCTTCTTCATCCTCCTCCTCCTCCTCCTCCCCCTCTTCTGTCACTTCCCCCACATCCAGCACCTCCACCTCCTCGTCGTCGTCGTCCTCTTCATCCAGGCCTCCCTCCAGCAACTCCACCACGGCAGCCTCCCCGTCCTCCGTCGATGCCGACTCCTCCCCTTCTCCTGCGTTCTGCTGCTCTTTCTTCTCCTCCTCTCTCTCCTCATCCACCTTCTCTCTCGGCTGGTAGATGGAGGTCTTGAGTGGTTTGACCAGGCCTTCCTCGTAGACTCTCAGGATGGCCTCACATACAAAGCGATACTGACTCTGGTAGAGACAGATTGAGAAAGGAGTTAAAGCTAAAAGTTTTAAAATGTTGCAGGAAACAACTAGGAAAAAAGAAATCAATGCATATACATACAGGTGTTTGTATCATCATGGCTCTCTGGTCTCTCATCGTCCTGACAATATCTAGAGGATACACTGGCTGACCACACTCCATTAGACACAATGCGGTCTCCATGGTGATCAGAACCCCTGTCCGGCCAATGCCAGCACTGGAAAGAGAACAGAAAAAAACATTTCAGTGAATTCACAAATCACTCTTAGGAAAATGCTTCATCTTAAAACCCACTAAACCCGTTTTTGTATTTATTTTTGCAGGTTTTATTCTTAGCCAAGAACAAAACCTGCAAATGCTCAAGAGGATACTAGCGGCCATTTGTGTGCTGACATGCCAGTGCATTTTATATCACTTCAACTGGTGTGTGTCCTTTTCTGATGACAGCGTTCTCTGAACGACTTATGTTGTGCCATCTGTTTGTGGTTTATATTTTATATCCACAACTGATGCTACTAATAAATCAGCCTGTTGGCTCTTCACTTCCAGCAGTATGACCTCCATTTAAGAACTAATAAAAGGTATTCTTACAATCAGACTCCACAGCACAACACCACATTTCTAGATTTGTATTTGGCCATTCTCAACTTCTGAACTTCTCTTTACAACAGAGTTTATTCTGTTAACGAAAAACAAACGATAACTGTTCATCAACAATCATTTTTCCATGATGAAGACAGGATGTTGATGAGTTAAAGATACATCTTTGATAATAAAAACTGACTGCTTTTTTTTTTTAACAAAACAAAACAAGACTAAATGTAAGCGGTGGACTGTTAGACATTCAAAATCCATTAATAATAAAATATTTCTGATTCTGAAGACATTTCCCCCACTCTGCGTCTAATCTGTCTCTTAAAATACAATAGGGAGAGAGGAGAGGTTTGTTTGCGCTGCCAGGCAGAGAACAGGAGGAGCATGCCCATGTGTGTGTGTGTGTGTGTGTGTGTGATCGTGTGTGTGCTTGTTTGTGTTTGTGTTGTGCAGAGCGACAGAGAGAGCTGATGAGCTGACGCTACAACGAGCTAACGATAGCCTGCCCAAGCTGTGAGTGACTGAGCTTTGAATGGTATCATAATATTTGTATAAAGATGAATAAGAAGTGGTTTTCTGTGTTGAAATGTATGACAGGGGTAGGAAATGTACCTTACCACACTGTGAAAGAACCCCACTACTAAGTAAAAGTCCTTCATTCAAAGTCCATCATTACATACAAGGACATGGCATTTATCAGCTTAAGGTACCACTAATACTGCAGTTTAAGAACAATCATGAATCTGCTGTAGACTTTTTCTTCATGAAAAAACTGAAGATAGAGTGCACTTAAAACAGTAATAAATAATGAGTGTAGGTTCACCATTTCAAAGAAAAATAAATCCGTACCTGCAGTGCACCACCATCGGCTGGTCCTGTCCAGCCCGTTTGGTCCGAACGAGAGCCACAAAGTCCAGGAAATCAGTGGAGTCATCAGGAACACCATGGTCAGGCCAAGCTAGGTACTGGATCTGTGTAAGCTCTCTCTGCTGCTCACTCTGAACACACACACACACACAAATAAAGGGGAAATACAAATAAATCCCTCTATAGAACATTTACCGTCTTTCAGAGAGTTTTTGTTTTCTGATCTATAGGATACAAACTCACTTGAACCTCAGTTAAGAACCAAGAAAATGATTATTCTCAGATATTCATTCTCAAGATATGTTACTGTGTTGCATGTGGGCGTTCCTCATCGCATGATCTGTCTATCGAAGGAGGAGAGACTGACCATCACCCTGTTGGTGTAATTATGGCCTTTAAACATGTTATGAAACAGGTTTTTATTATCTCCCACTCTGCTGGACTGCTCGGTGATTCTGGGTAGTTCAACCACATTTTAAGACATGGATGCTGATCACAATTTATTTTCTTGCTCTTCTACACATTCATGTGCTCTTCTGTTGCTGCAATCATGCTTCAAAGAGAGACATGTCACACTATCTCCATTCAAACATTAAAGCAAAACAAATACAAAGAGTCAGCAAGATTCAAACCCAACAGGGACAAAAGGAGGACTTCTTAAACACACACACACACACACACACACACACACACACACACACACACACACCAGCAGATAACTACAGACCACTGTTTCATGTGCAACTCAAGAGCCCCTGTGTTCCCTTTTTAATACTGCCTCGCTGCATCGCCATGGTAACACATCTATCTCCATGGCAACAATCACAGGCAGAGGAGAATGCTAATTGCCTCCTCCTACAGCTGTACGTTTCAAAGGTCACGGTGAACGGGCAACACAAAGGGAGCTAATCAGGAAAACAAAGACAGCGGGGAAGTGACAAGGAAACAGCAGGAACATTAAATCCGACGTTAAAAGTTCATTTTCAATGAGCCTATGTCCTCGTTAGCAGCATGGTACGTCGAGTGTTACATAAATTACAGCAACACCACCACGGTGTGCACCAAAAAACAGCATCGTCTCCAGTTACGAGGGATGTGAAAGTGTTCTGGACATGCAGGATGTAAGCATCTAAAAGGTAAATACAACACAAACTTACATCCTCCATTTGTCTTTGAAAAACTCTCATCATCCCACTCTCTATTTTTTTTTTTTTTTTTTCCTTCTGCTCTCTATTTCAGCAATGTGAGTGACTAGGGTGGTTGGGTTGTCATGGTTACCAGATCCCAATACGTGGCCCGCATGCAGCATCGGGAGCCAGAAAAAGAACAGCCCACACCGGTCACTATGGCAACACACCTCCTCGGGGTCCTCAGCGACTCATCCTTTCCTGAGACGCCGGTCCCTCTCGTTGATTGGACCCTGCGTCTCTCTCTGTGCTGCTCTGTTCCTCCTTCCTAACCTGTTTCTGTCAGCAGCTAACACCCTCTCACATCCTCCTCTTTATTAGTTTTAACGTCTCTCTCTGTTTCCTCTGATTCTCCACACCTGAATGTGCTTTTTTTTCCCCATTCTTTTAAAAGGTAGTTTGTGTTTGTGACTGTGTGGTTACCGGTGTGTGCATCAGAGTCATCTCGCGGACCAGGAAGGCAGAGTTGCCCTCTTCATTGTGGCACGTTACTGTAAAGTCTCCATAGGTGGCGCTGCTGTCTGGATTGGGCCAGTACTGGTGACACTTCACCTGTAAACACACACAAACAACTCTGTTTACAACTCAACATTTAATTACTTGTCAATTCTGACAGCTGTTTCTTTCTCAGATCAGGGGGGTCAAAGGTCAAGCTAAGGTACAGAACAGCATCTACTTCTTCTTAAATTAGCTATCTGTCGTTTGCTACTATGTTCAATTCACAAATATACAGTTTGTACAACGCACTCAGTCTGCCTGGAATCATTAAAACCTCCTGTGATGATTCTGAAAAATGTATGAATGAATGTTCAATGGATCAAAGTTGTTTTGATCGCGCTAATCTCTTTTTTGTTTTGAATGAACTGAGCTCAAATTAACAAAAGACGTCAAATGAAAAAAAGTTGCAGTGATTTATAAATTAAATATTTCGAAGAAAGAATCTCGTCTGCGTTTCAGACAGCTTCACGGTAAACAGCCATGAATCTGGCACTAACAGACTCACTCAGGATGAGAACTTGGCATTTCTACAAAGGGTAAAAGAAGGTTTTTCTATCAGACAAACTGAGTTCAAAGCTGTGCGGGACTTTTAGCTGGATTCTTTCATAATAAAATTCTGTTTCCTAACATACTGTAGTCTACATATGGCAACATGGTCCTCATCTGTGCTGAACTCTTCTACATACCCGCCCTCTCTCGACCTGCGTAGTCAGCATGACCACCATGGATGAGCCCTGCTCCCATGTCATTTGCCAGAAGTCGGGGCAGGTGTTGGGCAGCGGGCCTTGGCAAGCTATGTAGCGGTTAATAAGACTGGAGGCTGGAATCTCCATCTAGAGGAAAGAAAAAAAGCACAGATTGAGCTACACAGACACAAGGTTGGAAGGATTCCTCTTTATAGTTTATTTTCTATTGAAAGCGTTTGCTTTGTGCGTTTTACAACACAGAGCGAAATGCCTTTTGATTATTCTAAAAGGTCCAAACACTTGAACAAAAAATAAATCAAGCCTTTTTCGACAACTTCTTTAGGTACTTACACACGCTGACAAGTTAATAGTGTTTGGTTTCCTGTTTGAATGAGCCTCTGAGTCACTCACAAGGTCAGACGTAGTAGCATTATTGTAACACTCAGGTGTGCGCTCAATGTCACCACAGAGTGCCGATGATACAGAAGCACAAACACAGACACATCAAGAAATCAGCAGAAGGTCTTAATACAACATCTTGAACACATTGCTGTTTTTTTTGCCTTATTATGTTTTTACTGTCATTGTAAAAAAAAAAAAAAAAACAGCAGATGTTAGGTTGTTGAGTAGATCAGTATGCGGTGGCTGTGGCTCATTGGTAGAATCAGTTTTCTCTCAACAGGAGGGTTCAATCCCCAGCTCCTGCAGTCACATGTCGAAGTGTATTTGGGCGAGACACTGAACCCAAAATTGCTCCCGCTGCTTCATCAGTGGTGTGTTAATGTGTATGAATAGATTAGTTAAAACTGATGGATTCTTTACAAAGCAGCCTCTGCCATCAGTGTACAAGCTGAAGTCCATTTACTCGATATAATAAATGTGTTTTCAGCACTCACGTTGACTCATAGAATAAATGAAGACCATTAGGTTCTCATAATATTTACTAAATGTACAAGTGGTACCTAATTAAAGCCACATATAAAGAACAATTTGTTCTGATTAGATATCATTTATTATTTTCGCCATTATTTCATAATGTTGTAACTCAAGGCAGTCAGGAGCTTGTTACTCTATTATGACTTTGATAAATACAGCCTTGTGATGCCCGAGTAGTGTCATCATGTAGTCTTTTCACTGCACTGTTGTCTTCATGGAAGTGTGTCTCTAACCTGTGTCACTAATTAGAGTAACTCAGCACACCTGGGCCCAGTGTGCTAAAGTGACTAAATCTCCTGCAGTCACACACACACACTGGCTGTTTTTCAAACCACTTACTATACTAGTAGTAGTATTTACTGATCTGGCCAAAATGCAGTATGCAGTACTGTATGTGACCACTACAAGATATGCCAGAAATTCCCTGATGTGTACAGATTCAGGAAAAATCTACAGTATGCATCAGACTAGTCTTCCTCACATACAAAGTGTGTGTTTCCCACAATGTAAAGCGCCATGTCAGATATTGGAATGACTTGGAAAGGCCAGCAACAGCTACAATCACAATCCAACAAACCCACACAATGATACCGTCAATTATCTTTTTGATTCTCAAAATCATGAAAAATCTAAATAAATCACTTGTTAGCTTTATTCCGACCGTAAGTGGAGAAAACGCTGCAGCGATTATTGCTGTCAGCTTGGCTGTTATACACTTCCACAAGATCGGAAAAGACAGCTTAGCCTGGCCTGGCAAATAACCACAGACAGGCAGTCATACTACATACTACTGTCGAAAATATAGATTTGGCCTAATTTTAGTTAACAAAGAATTGCACTACTTCATTTGGTATAATAGAGTTAATAAAGATTTGTTGGACTAATTTGGTTTGATGTGGTTAATTAAGAAATGTTTGGTTATTTAATTTGGTTTGATTTGGTTAAATAAAGAATTATTTAAACCTTAAACTTTTTGTTATAACATCCTGAGCCAGGTCACAACAGACCTTTATGAATCAAAGACCTGAGTTTGGCCAATAACAACATTTCTTTAACAGGTGTGACTTCTTATTAAAACTGGCTAAAATATGATGGAATGAAGGGTTAACTTCTAAACTCAAACCCCGCAAACATAGACAAGGTGCTTTCAACTTTGCTGGCTGATGTAAAAACATACAAAACATTCACTTAAACCCGTTATTCCCTCGTAAAGTGGATGTGGTGAACTCATTCACCAGTTATGTGCGTTCAACATGTGTTGTAATAGTTAATGTAACAGACCACCCACCAGGTCTCAAAACCAACAAAAAGCAGATCTATGGACAGGAAGATGAAAGAGAACAGTAAGGAGGAGGAACTCACGTTGATGTAATTTGCATTGATGTAGTCATCTGTGCTTTTCAGAATGACCCGCGTGGCATCGTCTATAAAGGGAAAGAAAAGAGACAACGGGTTGGAGCGCATATTAAAAAAAAACAAGAATAGAAAGACAGAGAGAGCGACAGAGAGAGCGACAGAGAGAGCGACAGAGAGAGCGACAGAGAGAGCGACAGAGAGAGCGACTGACAGAGCGAGAAAGAAGAGATTTCCAGAGGGGAAAAACACAAGCCAACGGCGAGAGACAGCTGTGTTCAGTCACGTACAAGGAGAGATGTCTCTGTAGCGATTTTTGGAAACGTTCTGAGGTAATTTGGCACACAGCATGGTCATCCCCGGCCTCTTCCTGTACAGTTGCTGTAAGAAAAGGAACACAAATTTGTAATGAAATACAACGAAAAACATCAGACAATCAGCATTTAAGCTAATATTCTTCATAACCCAGATCTCAGAGTAAACAGGAAACTGTTAGGTGATTATGATAAAGGAAAGGAAGCCAGAGAAATGTGAACAAGAAAAGAAATGTGGGATAACACAACATCAGATCAAAGAGTGTGGGGCGTCTGTGACCGAGTGGATAGTTTGCGCACCCCATGTACAGAGACTGTTGTCGGCCTGTCGAATCTGACCTGATACTTCTTTCCCGCATGTCATCCCGCCAATTTCCGACTCTGCCCACTCTCTCTAATTGTTAAGAGTTTTGTTTGTGTCTCTGTGTGAAAAGAATTCTCTCTCTTACATCAAACTGTGCCAATATGGCTCCACCGCTCAGGCCTTCCTTCAGTGTGACCATGGAGTCCCTCAAAGCGTTCTGGTCTAGCTGTGTGGGGTCCTGAGGGGACTTCTCTGGGATGTACTGAAAGTCTGGCTCCGAGTCCACCTTCTCCTCCACCACGTCATAGATGGCTGAGTGGGACAGGAAGGAAAGATGTCACTGTGCGTATACAAACAGCTGTTTATGTAGGCCGAGGCCCGAGGGGAGTATATTTATCTCTAAGTATGTAATGAAAGAAAAAAAAAAAACATTAAAGAAGAAGAAACTCTGTAAATCACAACCAACGCACAGGAACATATAGTTAATATGTGTAAATATCTATATGAATACATTTCATAAAAAAACGGAAAAATCAAATGTGAACTGACAGGTCTTACATACATTGATGCAATCTTACATGTGCTCTGATGTAAGAGAGGATAGAATGCATAAATCCCTCACTGACCCATTTAAAATACCAAGAATTTCCATGTTTCATCATCTTTTAAAGCTGCCCCCCACACCCCCTCTAATTCGCTGACTCCGATTAAAAGGAAATCCATCGCATACTTTCCACATGATAAGAACACACAGCCAAGATGTACAGAGAAGCAAAATGTACACTCTGTACATTAGATCTCCTTTAAAAACTACACGTGAGAGAGCGAGCAGTCCAGAAAAGACCAGAAGAAGAAACCAAACTGGTGAGCAGATGTGCAGCTGTTAATCTTCAGGAGTGGACTGCACAGACCCTCCAGATGTTGCACTTTGCCTGGTTATCACTTTAGCATGAATTGGAGATTCATGCACCACTAATTCATACTCAAGTAAAGTGGTTCTTGTGTTAAGATCAGTTGTTAGAAAACATTTCAACCTGATCACTTCCAGATTAAACTGAAATGAAGGAAATTTAACTTTAGAGGCATTCAGACATAAAAGTGTTTAAGGTTTGTCTACATCTTTGTGATAAAATTGTAAAATTATTAGTTGTTTTATACATGTGTACTGCATTAAATAAGTAGTAGTGGTAGGCGTGCGCGCCCCAATTACAGAGGCTACATTCCTCTAAGCAGGTTGCCCGAGTTCGAATCTGACCTGTGACTCCTTTCCCGCATGTCATTCCTATCTCTCAAATAAAGGCATAAAAATAATCCTTTAGAAATTAAAAAAAACCTGATGCTTATATTTAATAAGAATAATGTACCTCAAAGCCTTTCTTATAGTGACTCACAATTTTTTAGGGAAGCATGTCATACAAACAGATTTTAGATTAGAGTTAACCTAATAAATCACAAACTGAGCTACATCGACAATACAACAAGCTCTATCTGTTCAAGAGAAGTTTACAAACCAGCTATTTGACATATAAATTATAAATACAATATAAATAAGGACACCACCACTACAAAAAGGTGTATTCACTTCATAGTGAGTAGTATGTGATTTCAGTCACAGCCAAGCTTAACTGTCCACGCAGGGAACAACTCACCGTTTGGTCTGACCAATAGGATGAGCTCCCCAGAGTGGCTTTCACAGCTGGCCTTGATGAACATGACCACCTGATCATGGGTGTGGTCAGAGATGTCCCGTCCGTTAATGAGGACCACCTGGTCGCCCTCGTTAAGGCGCGGCACACACAGGTCAGCCTGAGGAGGGACAAATGGAGACGAAGTGAGACACGAGTTCTGAGACGTCGATAAATAGATTTTTGGAGAGAAAATGTTCTCTGATATTAAAATAATAACTACATGAGTAGTCATCTGCTGGCTAAACTGATTTATTTCCTGACTTACAGATGTTCCTGGAGCTACTCGAGACACAATGATTGGCATCTTCTGGTCAGCTCCACCCTGAAAACGAATCCATTAAATATCAGTAAACAGCGCAAAGCATTGAAGACATTTTCCTTTCTTTCAAGCGAAGAGTCAATATTTCCACCAACTAGGGTAGAATTGGTCATAATTCATACAGACAACGCGCGCCAAAGGTTTTGAGTCCTTGGCACAAGTTAAGAGAGAAGAAGAAGAAAAGAACAAAGGAGAGAGAATAAGCTATTGGACCATGAACAAAGGTTTTGTACCACACTGACCTTGACATTGAAGCCAAAACGTCCGTGTTCATCAGGTCTCATTTTGATCAGGACCAGGTTATCGTGAGGGACGACTCCATTCAGCTACAAGAGCAAAGTGAGACACAGATACATCATATATAGGAATATCTGTGCACTCTTTTCTTTCTTACAAACCTCCACAGAATGTCAGCTGCAGATCATAGAGTAGACAATATTACTTGCTTGATAAAATAAAAAAAGAAGTGAACTACAATTTATCTTTAGTAATTAGTTTGAACTCGACCTGAATACTAACTCTACATCTTCAATGTATGACCAAGATTTAAAGCCTAAAACTGGGATTTTTGGCCACCAGGGGGCAAAAAAGTGATAAAAAGGTCAAACAAGCTGACAAAAAAACAGATAAACATTTCAGAATAATTTCCTTTTTATCATTAAGGTTGTTCAACCGTGTTCACCGGCCCTAGCATATATATCTGTAGTTTGATGCCTGTCAGGTAATCACACAGGACATTTTATTAAAATCTTTAAAACCAATACAAGAAGAGAGACCAAAGAAGTGTCTAAAGGATGAATCAATATGTCATACTCGACCAGGAACCCTTTAGTTCTCTATTCTTCATCTTCTTGGTGAATATGAAGAAGAAGACACAACTGGGCATGATAATAACGTCCTACAATATCTAATGACTGTGTTGTGTTGTGTTGCAATACTGACCGTGGTCTTATCAGCATTGACGGGCACATCGTACATCTCGTTGAGGTGGTTGTCCAGGAGGCTCTGCTGGGAGTGGGCCTGGATGATCTGGCTCAAGGTCTTTCTGCTCAGCTGCTTGGGGGGCAGGGCTGGGGGCTGGCCATCAAGCCCCTCTGGAGACCTGATGGAGACAAGGAGAGGGAGAGAGAGGGGGAGAGAGAGAGAGAGGGGGAGAGAGAGAGAGCGAGAGAGAGGTGACAGAGATTTAAATAAACATTTTAAGACATTTTGCATCACATGCTAAATTCAGAACTTAGATGCAATCCGATTGGACAAAGGTTTGGTGTTTATTCCCTTTTGCTTCTCTATTCTACACAATCACATTTCTATCCATTAGAGAGAAACTAATCATGGAATAATGAGCTATAAAAAGTAAATAATTACAAACTTAAGCAGCCTGGTTTTTTTTTAAAGAAAGGAAGACACATACAGGCACGGCATAAACGCAAGTAGTTGTCTCACAACTTATTGTCCTGCTTGTCAAAGAGGAGGCCATTGGGTAGAAAAAGAAAGGTTGGAAGGCGAGTGGAGAAAACCAGATAAAGGGGAATGGGAGAGACAGAGATTGCAAGAGACAGAGAGGCTTAATAGCACTGTGTTAGTCACAATGCATTAACCTCAATAAAAAAGGCTGCACGAGAAAGGGAAAACATCCCCCCCCCTCTCCCTCTCCATCATCGGGACAATAAAAGGCAGTCAGTGAGTATGATGAAACAACGCGGCCAGTCAGGTAAGGCTTTCAGCAGCATCATGTCCCGCTCTCTGGGGGGTAAGAGTGTGTCATTTCACACCGTGTCTGTATCCATAAGTGTTAGCGAGGGTGTGTATGAAGTTGTGTGCAAGCTCTCCTGAGGGAAAAGAGCACCAGTCAAAGAGCATTGGAGATGTTTCCATCATCGGGACAATAAAAGGCAGTCAGTGAGTATGATGAAACAACGCGGCCAGTCAGGTAAGGCTTTCAGCAGCATCATGTCCCGCTCTCTGGGGGGTAAGAGTGTGTCATTTCACACCGTGTCTGTATCCATAAGTGTTAGCGAGGGTGTGTATGAAGTTGTGTGCAAGCTCTCCTGAGGGAAAAGAGCACCAGTCAAAGAGCATTGGAGATGTTTTGGCTGCTGCTGCTGGTGCCACTTTGCGTCTTTTAACGCACGCACAGAACCTATCATTTATTATGGGTCAAAATCAGGTCATGCTTTCAGAACGAGGGCAATGCACAGCAGGCCTGAGCCAAGACTGAGCATCCCTCCTACATGAATGTGTTTCCTCCACACGACACAGTGCGAGTGAAACGGATATGAAGGCATCTTCATACCAGAGTCTGAGCTGGCCACAGTCCCGGCACCGTCGTCTCCACCAGACATAACCAAGCACTTCTATTTACTAATCCTTATGGCATATAACTTGATTATTACCGAATCCTAAAAGTCTTCTTTTAGGTCCAAGTTAAAGGTGCACTATGGAGTTTTGGTGAGAAATGTGAAAGCTGGAGAAGTGTACAGATTATGTGGTATATGTTCATAACTTTATACACAAACTGTCCTCAGAGGAAAATTTGGTCCCTGAAACACTGTTTGAAGATAAAATGCTGTGCAAGAAGTTATGGTGGAGGGCCCGCATCAGTGAAACCGTAACTCTCCTGGTAGACTTAAAGCTCCAAACAGTGTTCCAGGGACCCATTTTTTCCTTTGAATAAAGTTTGTGTATTTAGTCCAGAAAATATAGCATAGACTGGTTTTAATTATCCAACTTTCAAATTTCACTCACAAATCTACATAGTGCACCTTTAAATGTTAGAAGGCTCACACAAGACAGAACTAAACGAGCGAGCACAATGACGAAATAATCAGATACCAGTGCATGAGATTCTTAAAAAAGCACCTATAAAAAATCATATGGATTAAAAAAAAAAAAGCACCAGAAGGTGAATTTAAAAACACTCGAAGTGCATACACAAGAGTATTTAAAACTAAACCGTTTTTCCAAAGCCAGCCGTAGCTTTGCATCTGTGATTAAACAGATCTGATTATAGCGATGTTATGTTTCCGTTTATTGTATAATTGAAGCTTTTCTTTCCTTGACAGTGTCAGGAATATAGAGACACTGCATTTTAAAAAGCCATCACTGTCATATAACGTGGTTCCCTAAACCGATAATTTTCAGTCTGCACAACTAAAAACACAACATTATAGAGAGAAGGTCCAAGGGTTTGGGCTTTTTGTACTGTGTATGTGTTGTAGCGAACTGTGTGATTTAAAACTGATTCTGGTTTGAGTTTTTATTGGAGGAAAAAGCAGCGAAAAAGCAATGACAGACACAATGACATTGGCCTAAGCAGAATCATTCCTTACTGTCTCTGTTTATCAATCTTTAATATTAGGGATGACTTTTTTTACTGAAGAACTAGTAAGTCATGCCATTGTGCTAAAAAGTCATGCCATTGAGAAAAACAAAAAAGCACCGATTGTGAAATTTAGGATACCGATGTTTAAAAATAACAATTCAGCTGATTTCCAATTCTGATACAGATGTTTGTTTCGTGACTTCTTCCCACAGCGGCGACATTTTTTCTCATGTTTGACAACAAAAACAAGTCAGAGTTTTTTTCAACAGGTGAATTCATCTGCCCACTAAAAAACCTCTTCTCTGAATCAGCAGTTTTGGTAGATGTCAGCATTTAATTGATTTGGTACAAATCAACCTCAGCTACTGACATCGGCTCATGACTCATGATCTGCCGATGTGCCGATGTCTGTCAACAGGACCGATATCAGCTGATACCAATGATGAACTGATGCATCCCTAATGTTGTAAACTGTCCATTTACAACTCTGTTTTTGCACATTTACATTTAATCTTTCATATTTAATCTTCCTATTAAAGACTAGCAATGCTTAGTTAAATCCTGGTTGTATATATATATATATCTATGTTTAGATTTGCTAACATTGTGTTTTTTACTCATATTGTGTGTTGGATAACCTGCTGCTGTAACGCCACAATTTCCCAGTTTGGGATCAATAAAGTAAGTCTATTCTATTCTATTCTATTCTAATAGAAACTACATTTACAGCTAATAGCCCCCTGAAACCATGAAGACATCACAATGGAATTGGTGGATGTGTTAATTTAGAGCCCCAAAAGCTACAAGAGAGATTCTTCTGTTTGTAAATGTTAAAAACGCTTCATCAATAACGAGAAATAAACACATATTTAAAGACAGAGAAAGGTGTGAAAGGCCAGACACATGTTTTGCTTTGAAATGATAGTTTGATATGAAATGGGAATCTTAAAAAAGCAAACATGTGATGTTAAAAAACATGAACTGGGGATAGTGAAAACATGGTGTAAGAACTAAATGAAGCCATTACAGTAATACACATGGATAGTGATTTGTCTGAGCAAGCGATTATGTCATCTTTTGGCTCTGTAACCTAGTGATGAACCAACAACTTGGCGCGTGTGTGTGTGTGTGTGTGTGTGTGTGTGTAGACTTGTAGGCAGCAGAACTTATACTGTAACGTTATTTAACCACTCTGATTTCCAACTGAGCAATGTTCCTTCCTCCCACCTCCACACACACACACACACACTCTCTCTCTCTCTCTCTTTCACTCACATATACACCTACAGTGTCAACAGGGGGAAAAAAACGCATGCTGTATCTACAATGCAATTCATTCAAATCACAGCGACTCAAGCAAAGAAGAGTCCAGGCCAACAGCACACGTTTGCATCTTACACAACTCATTTCTGGCTCAATAAGGCAAAAACAATCCAGCTGGAGGATCAGTTTAAGAAGTTGCTTTTTTAAACACATAGTTTGTCTCACCCGCCAGTGCTAAATGTTGTCAGAGTTTCAGAAACTTGTTCAGCTTAGCCACTAACTTTATAAGATGCTTTAGCAATGTGCTAACTCAAAGTGAGGCTGTCTTAACATCCACCATATACTGCTGAGTGAGTGAGTGAGCAAACGACTTCTGAAAGGTCTGCAGTTTGAACAGGACTTTGATTTCATTCTTTGCATTCCACCAGGTTTGTATTCAATTGAGCTAACAAACATCAAACTCCTGAAGGCCCGGGCTAAAGCATCCTGAGAATGTGAGTGTGGATATGTGAATACTTGTGATTTATTGACTGATGATAAAAACAATGTATCCTGTTCAAGAATCAATTATGAACAGTGGATCAGTAACTGAAATAGTAGTCTGCACAGTATGACAGAAACATGCAATGTGCAATCACCTGATTCAATATATGGATAACAATATGAAGATCAATAAATCAACAAATATTAAAGAGATTGTATGTGGTCTATCTGCTGTTCTGAATGTTTTATACAAAACCTGGGACTGAATCAGGTACCTTCTGAATCCATCCATTATTTTCAAGTGGCACTAATTCATTAAGTTTAATCTGACTCCATCATAATGGTGTGAAAGCATGAGCCGCACATAACGGTGTGTTACAATGAACCTCCGATCTCAGAGCTGGGAATGACGTCACACCAAAGTGAACCAGTTGCGAGTAGGAAACAAGATGGACGAGCAACATGGACGCCTCCAGCAGTACCTTTACTGTTAGCTTATAACAGGCCACGACAACACACTACGAGATGGTCTGCACGGGACCATAACTTGACACCATGTCCACAGATAGAACTTGCACGATACTGTGGGTGCGATTCATTTAATAACATAAAAAGATGACTAGGTTTCTAAGAAACGCAAAAGTGTACAGACTAAACTACTATTGATGCATTAAGCATCTCGGGCTACTGAAGGTTCTCCCTATTCCCAAGTCGGAATTCCGTCTTCAGGAATGTTGATCACACCGTGTCCTAACAGCATGCAACGCTGCCACGCTGGCTGTCCACACTGCATCCGTTAAATATATTATTATCTCCTCTGTGTATTTCAGTTTCCCATTGCAAACATTATGACATCTGGTGCTTTTGTCAGAAGGTGGACAATCTGAAGTGTGGTGCTTTATATTTAGGATCTGTTGACTCAAATCACCACACTCAGAGACAGAAACGGCTCCATGAAAAGAAATTGTTTTCCACAGCTCAACATTTCAATCACAGATGTGGGTATTATTGATGCACCTCTATCTCCACTTTGTAAGACAAGCTAACAAGGCTAATCGTGTCACTGACACTCGCTTGCGTCACATGCTGTCAGGACAGGTTGTCCGGCCGGCAACTCAGAATTTCCGACTTCCAACATCAATTGAACGCTCCAATACCCATTCCAACAGTTTAAATGTAGGCTAAGTAGTGAGAAAGCATTCCTTGTTTACATAAAGTAACTCTTCCTATTTACCGTGATCAATTCAGACGTTTGCATCGTGGTAACTGTGAATACTCGTATCTTAATGATGAAATTGCATTTAATCATGCAGCCCTAAAGAAAAGTGTGCTTCTTCAACAGTCTAACTCATAGACTGTTGGGCTGGGGAAACAGGCTCATGGAAATGTAAAGGAGTTCACCAGATATTTTATAAAGTGAGAACAATAACATGATGTAGAAATCTCCCATACCCTCACTTCTAAGTTCAGCCCAAACATACAACCTCTGCGCCCTATTATCCACTATAAACACATTTTACAAGCGGTTTTTCAAAGGGTTCGTCTTTCCAACGCGGCCAGTTAAGAGACACTGTGAGAGGGTGTGAACAGTTGAGAGAAGCCACATACACAGGCAGACATTTCAAAATGAGTCAACTCAGCAGTACACTCAGACAGAGTGGCACTAACACTGATGAGTAAAATTAAACTTCAAAATTAAAGGGCGGCTGTTTTGTGGGGGTGCTTCTTTTATGAGGTAGATCATTTTCAGGGAAGTCTGTATCCCTGTCACCAAGTCAAGACTGAGGTTTTTTTATTTCTCCCAGAGCGACAGCTTTAAAGAAAGTGGGCGGGATTAGAGAGCACAAAAAAAAAAAGAAGAAGAAGAAAGACGAAGAAAGGACAGAACAAGTAACACGTGGAAAAATAAGCATTATAGAGACAAAGTGGAACTTACGGTGTGGAGTCCAAGCTGATGCTGTTAGCCTGCGTGGATGATGCTGATTTGTGATTGGAGGAGAAGACAGGCAGGCTGGGTGAAGCGTGGATCACGTGATCGACCAGGTGCCCGACGGATGACGGGCGTATCCGTGTGCCCTCTTGTACAAACAGTGAGTTTCTGATGAACACACACAAGCATGCATGAAGTTCAAGGGCTAAAAAAACAACCTAGCTTTAAACATTTTGGCAATCATAGGCAGGTAACACACGGTGTGTTTGTATACAAGTCATGATGGAATATCATCTCATAATGTGTAAGTGAATCATTTACAATCTGGGGCTTGAAAGTCGTACAAAATGAATGAATGACTGAATTATCATTTGCTGTGAAAACACTCTTTTTAAATATTTCTGAACCATTTCGAAAATGATTTCCAGACACGTCTGATATGGACCCTGAAATGTAAAACTCACTGATTGGGCGTCCCAGGCGGCGAGCGAGTGGGTAGGCTTTGGGTCTCCAGTCTCTCATCTGACAGGCTGTTCCTGCTGACTGACTCCCAGTCTGTTCCACCCAGCAACTTCCTGGCCAATGGCTTGCTGGGAGACCTGGATACACAGGGACTTCAATTGAGTTGTAACCAAACGAACTTAATAATGCAAAAAGTGTAACACAGTGATGAAGATCTAATGTTAGAGGTTTGTTGGATAAATCTGAATAACAGATAAAGACATGTTGGTTACCTTGCAAACACTCTGTCCTTGATGCCTTTCTCCTTTCCATACTGCACAGATTGAACCTCCGTCCGCCCGCTAGAGACAGAAACATTAAAAACATTCATCAGAGAGGCCTGCCATGGAAATCAACCTTTAGCTGAAGTGAATCATCTTAAATCTTTATTTTCATAGTTTAGCAAGGTTACAAAAACTTATTTTAAGAGCTGCATTTACTTTCCGTACCTTATTTATGAAAACAGACATTTAGTGAATAACTGCTATTCACTCTTAATAAAGAGCTGATTCAGCTACTTTGCCATCAGCTCCTGTAAATTTTCTCTGCTCTGAAATTGCTAAATTAGGGTCGCAGTCGCACAAGGCAAAGTCCCCCCCCCCGGATTTCCTAGTGTGAGAGCACCCTTAGAGTTGAACTGAGACTTTTCAGCAAGCCAGTAACAAGTACAAAACATTATTAAATAGGGATATTATTATTTTTAATACACGGTTAATAACAAAATAATGTGGCAGATTTTGAACTTGAAATATATTCCTTCGTGGAAAGTCAGTGAATATCTTCAGGGCAAAATCAGACCCGCACAAACTCTGTCTTGCCCGAGAGCAAAGCTCGCTAACGTTGCATCACTGCTGCTCAATAATGCATCACAAGACCTTCAACTTTCATTTCATCTCTCAATCACATTTCAGAGAAATTGTAAATAATACAAAAAAAAGCAACCAATAAAGGGAAAATCCATTTGGAGGCCATGGCATACTGCAGTACCAAGAAATGTACAAAAAAAAAATATGTGAAATGGTTTTCACTGGATGCTTGCACACGGACACAAACACAGACTTTTTTGCTAAACTTTAAAGAATGGCTGCGAGGCCAGACACTAACAACTTAGTTTTTCCTCTTCTTGAGGAAAACCATGAATTATTTAGTTGTGGTTTTCTGGGGGGAGGTAGCATGCGAGACACCCACTAGTCTTCCAGTGATTCAGCCTCTCAACCCAACGTGAAACAACTGCATCAACCTCCAAACAAACAAGTCGGGTTCATGTGTGATTGTTTGTGTCTGAGTGAGTTTGTGTTCGGGTCAATCTGTCTGTGTCTGGCTGTCAAGATGAGACTTCTCAGAGATTACATTTTCTCCTCTGGAGTGTGTGTGTGTCCTCTTAGTCCTTACCAGTATCTGAACTTTGACCCCAGGGTAAAGTAGTGAGCAAAGAAGTTCTTCTGTGGCGGGATGGGCCTCTCCAGCCTGAAGAAGGTGTGGTGCTCCACACACGCCTTCCACAGGTTTTTACAGGCCCGATAGTTCACCATGTTGAAACCCAGCAGCGTCTCGCGAGTCTCAGTCTGTGTGCAGGGAGCCAGAGAGAGCAGTCAGAGGGCCGCTGAGAAAACGCTTTGGACAGCCAGTTTATTATAATATTACAGGAAGCACAAATTAAGATTTGACAAAGTGTTGAAAAGTCAAGAACCACAATGAATGTTACCTGTTGTTTTTAACCTACTCTGTACCACATTCACACAATTGATTGGTCAAATAAAATGTTCCCTTCATCTACATGAGTAGATTTCTTTTCACTACCAAGGAGTGATGTCTACTGGGAAAACTCAGGGGGGGGCTCATTGCATTTAAAGAGACACGCACCCCAAAACGGAGCATTCTGAGAGAGCTGGTTTATACAGGGTCACAAACCTCCTCTGGTGCTTGATTCATGTTATATTTTGACCAAAGCACAGCACAGATGTTTCATTTAGACCACAGGGGACTGTTTGAAAAGGTGGAGGAGGGGGATAATATGTCCCCTTTAAGCTTTCTATTTCAATAGTACAGTCATTACTTTAGGCTTGTCGGTTGAGCCAACAGTTTCAATTGTTACTTCAACAGTCAGCCTTCAGCTTTCTCTTCAGCCTAACTACTCTACAATCTCCTCGTCCCACAACAACTGCAGAGCTCCCCCCCCCGCCAAGGATAACAAGCCCGGGTGTGGACTCAGACAGTCATCACAGAGTTTGAAATTACCAGGGGCAATCTCGTGCCATTGCTTTTAAAGCACTCTGTAAAAACCCTCATTTAAAGGTGCTATATGAATATAGTTATTATCATTATGATTTATTTCTATAGTGAGTTTATAGAAAATGTACAAGCAGGTTGATAGAAAAAGGTCAAAGCAACAAGGATTGTAACAATTGATTCAGCTTCTTTGTTCTTTCTTGAATCTGTGAAGCCTAAAGTCATAACATTAAAATGCACTACCAACATTTTAGAACTTCAGGTTCAGTGATTCTTCACTTCGATTTGAAGTTTGTTGAGGAGCCATTTTCAGACACACACTTAAGAACAAGTTGGATCTGACTGTTTCACCTAGAATATTCCTTCTAACAGGAATCAGAGGCCGAGAGAAACAGAGGACGGACAACTGATGATAATTACATTCATGGATGAAATTCAGACAAACAGAAGAAACGTGAGAGAAAATAAAATTAAAGAACTGTATCCTTTAACTGCTAGATTTAGTTCTTAAATATGAAGATAGACAGTAAGACGTCAAAAGAATAACAGACGTCTGTGCAGATGTTTGCTTTGGAGATTAGCATCAAGTTGACTGTGAAGGTGACAGATAAGCTGTCTGTTTGTTGTGTTAAGCACAGGAAAAAAAAGAGAGCCACGTGTCAAACAAGGGATGCAGGACAGAGTCAGGATTAAAACACAAGTCAACCAGGACACAGTCAGCAGGGGGTAAATCTGACACTGATTAAACACACACAAACACAGACGTAGCTCTGCTAGCATTGTAAGTACACACACATACATTTAAAGTCAGAAAGCACAGAGACACACACACACACATTTTGTGTCCATCTGTCTGTTAAAAAAAACCTGGACACAATTTTGAGAGAGAGTTGGTGTGTGTGTGTGTGTGTGTGTGTGTGTGTGTGTGTGTGTGTGTGTGTGTACACCTACCGCCTCTCTTCTTAGCTGGACGAAGAACTGTTTGCACTTGAAGGAGATTTTCACGATTTTCAACCTGGAAGCAACGACAAAAAAAACAATGCAAAGCCAAGTTAGTATCTCCAAGCGATAAAGAGCCTTTCATCTGTAACAGGATGATGACGCTGAATTTCTATCATTGGGTTAACTCAGTGGTTTCACAACCTTTGACTTCTCAAAACTCTGGGGACCCCAGACATCCAGGACACATTCAGCTTTTTGCTAAAATGATTAAAATGTCAATCATATGTTGTTTTTTTTCTATTGTGTTTCAAGGCCGGGATGAAATTTTTGAGCACAAAGGGAGGAATTTTTTCCCTCTCAATGTACAACGTTTTTTACACCCAGGTGAGCTCATAAAGTAATGGCATGGCTGGAAATGAATGCTGGACACATGAGGCATGAATGAGAGACAGACAGAGATACTGAAAGTAACTGGGTAAATGTCTTGTAGCCTAATAAAGGCAGAATGTTCCAATATATTTTACTTTGATCAATGACTACACATTTCAGGGGACCCCATTTGGGGTTTGGACCCCAAGCTTTAAACTCAAGGTCAGTCAAGTCTTTTGGAAAATATCAGTAATAGTAATGCATAATCAGTGTGGGAATCTTAAACAAAAAATGATACAAGACATACACAGCATTCATTTCATTAACCCTTTTTATTTCCTTTATGGAACTTAAAGGTTGGAAAAACCATCATATCGCCACACTGCCTGTTTCAAAAGCAGCTTTCTCCTATCTCTGAGGAAGCTTTATGATGAATTAATCAAACACATATATTGTGGTGTTACTGCACCACAAAAACGTTGAGAGATTCATCTGAATGAATAAATTCATAGTTTAACTTTTTATTTAAAAACTGACATATAACATACTTTAACAACTGAATTAAAACCATTTGTACAATATTTTTTAAAGAGGCTTCAAAAATATTTTTTGCAAAGAAAAGGAATCTAGGTTGTGATTTATCATTGATGTAATAATCATGATATGACATTCTTACCCATCCACCGCGTTTTAAACTGACAAACGGTCCTGCAACTTGCACTAACAATCATTCCTGTTTATCTAACATCATTAGACCTATTGACGTAGCTGTAATGGAAATGTGATCTTTGTAGCTGTTCTGAGGTCTGGGACCAGGCTAGGTATATTTGGTTATCTGTTAAATTTTAAATAAATACTTCAGTCGTTACACATTTGTAAGAGCTTGAACTATTTTTGAAGCCGTCAAAAATTACATTTCCTCAAGTCCAACCAATTGTTAGCATTCATAACTGGCACAGTGTTTCTAAGTGTTTAAAAGCAGAGCAGGGAACTATTTCTCTTTCAGGATTAACTACAATGAAATAGAATTTTTATCCACATGTCTCAACGAACCGCCTGTTCTCTAAGTAAGCTGCCCCACGTGTCCCACCCCAACTGTTCATTTAACCTCCAACCCCTTCTTCTTTGTATAGCTGCAGGGTGGGGGTTATAAGACTAACACCACACCGGAGTACCCCAGTGGTTCAAGATGCTCATCTATGTCCATCACCCTTTGTGTTAACTAGTCCTGCATACATTGAAAGCTGCAAAGATGTTCAAATCGCAGTACCAGGTCTGCTGATGAGCAGCAGAGTAACATAATCCCTTCCTAGAGCTCTGTTGCTGCTGTGACTCATCGCTCCCTGCTAAATATATTTTACATACTTACTCACACACGCATGCATGGGCAAAAAAATAAAAAAATCACACAAACACAGACACACTCATGCTTAGGCAGAGTGAGTCATGCCCCATCTAAGTGTGGCTCATTTGTCAAGCTGCTGTGAACAGAAATAGGAAAGAGGCAAAACATCTAAATGCCTCTCTCTTCCTCCCTCTGTTGACCCTTCCATACAGTATCGCACAGTTTGATTCATCCCAGAGAAGAAGAAAAAAACGAGAAGACAAGGGAGAGGTGATGGGACTAGTTGCAGAAACAATGGCCCTTGTTGAAGAGAGGGTCAAGATAAGAAGACGCAGAGGAGAGAGAAAGTAAATGTAAGCACATGCAGAGGAGAAGCTGTTGACTATTATGCGTCTCCCTCCCTCTGCTTTTCACACATGGTAGTGGGCAGCTGCTCGGGACGCACGCCACTGTTGATCTCTAAATTTAGCTCAACTGACGGGATATGCACACATGCAAACACACATTGACCTGAGCTGTTTTTACTCCACACAAGAAGACTTTGCAGTGATTTCAATCATTTCATGGAGACTTGTATCCAACTCTGATTTGTGTCACTTGAACCTGATTATGCTGTTTAATAGGAAGCTTTGTGCATTTGCTCCTTTTTTTTCTAGCCCAGCGATATAGAACAAATTATTTATTCGTTTATTGCAGAATTATGTTTACACTCAAGATGCATGTTTGTCAGAGTATTGGGAGAGCACAGAGCATGACATTACAACATGTTTAGCGGCTACTTTCTTAATCCACGTCACCAACTCTTTATGTCTCAAACCGGATTCAGGTCAGTTGGTCAACTTAAGTAAGCAGCATCTCTGCTTACAGCTCGCACAGTTTTTAAACATGAAAGGGCTTAATGCTGTGATTTTAATAACTAGGATCTTCAGCTTTAGAACGGTAGAGAATCTCTACTCATAATTCAGCTCCAGGCAGCCTCTACTGACTTCCTCTTGCTGCCAAAAAAAAGAGACTCAGAAGCCGTTTTCACACACTGCACTCCTGAAAAGTTCTAGAAAATTTCAGGACAGCTTGCACCTGAAATCTTTCACACATGACCCTCACAGCCAGTGGTTTCCCTGTACAAATTCATATTTATAACAAGAGTGTGACAAAGAACATAAGCAGGGAGAAGTGAGCAGAAAATAGTATGAAGCAGCTTCAATATCAGAACATTTTCAGGAGTTGTGTGCATGAGTGAAATGGCAAAGAGAAACTTCTTTATTGATCCCGAGGGTAATTCACTAGTTTTAAACCCTTGTTGATTGGTTTTAGAGAAGAGGAGTCCTCTGTGGATAACTCAGCACCATGTAAAACCCTCTGAATGACGCACACTGAAGGATCATATTGAGACTTGTTTTGTAAAGATCACTGCACGCCATGCAGTCTGTGTACAACCTCACGTCTAAAATAAACCACATAGCAAATAACAAACTGACTAAATGTCTGTCATCCTGATGTCCTCTTGACTGGTGACTCCAATTGTCTAGAGGGGGAGCCTTATCTAAATCCTCAAGAGAACATCCACACTGTATCTTTACATCTCAATTCAATCCTTTAACTTTTCGTCACCATATGGGGAGGAAAGTCCCCAGATTTATGTGATCCCGACAAAGTCAGTATCCCAAAATCCTTCAATCTAGAAAGCTTACATGAGCACACAAACTAAACTAAACTGTCCATAAACACACAGATGACCCAAGCTGCCATGTGCATTCGGTCAAAGTGTGTGTGCCTGTGTGTGTGTGTGTGTGTGTGTGTGTGTGTGTGTGTGTTAAGCCGACACATGAGTGAATTATCTTTTGGAGTTACAGGGATTTGAGCAGATACTGTCCAACCCCAGCAACCATTAACATTTAGCCTCCCACAGTGCAGCAGCAGAGTAAAGGAGATTTCCAAGAATCGATGCTTTGGAGAGAGAACCGGAGCCGGAAACATAAAGACTGATGAGAGTAAGTGAATTAGACAGAGAGAAAAAAAAAAATATATATATATATATAAATAAAGAGAGACGCAGAGCAACCAGATTTGATCCTTTAATATTTCCAGGAAACCTAGTTAAATATTAAGCCCTCCCTAGAAAAATCAGGTGGAATCATCTACATAATTCTCGAAAAGAATCCAACTATGGCTTAAACATTAATACGCAATGCCAATAATCACTGTGTGAGAGGTTACTCAAATATGGAGCAGTGCATTTCTCAGTTAGAAAGGCTCCCTGGTAGCGTTTCAAGTAGACCTGGCTGCAGATTGATGGACAGACAGGTGTTTTTGTGACAAGAAACATCTGCAGTGTGAGTCCCAAGCAAATTAGATATCTGGGGGGGGTGGACTGTCTTCTTGTTAGCAGAATGTGTGAAGCACAGAGAGAAAGAAATCAAATGTTACAGTGGAGCTTCACATAAAGAATGTATTTTAAATATAAACTTATCAATTGAGATGGTCTAAGTCAGTGTTTCTTAACTAGTGGGTCGAGACCCAAAAGAGGGTCACTGAGCCATTTTCAGTGGGTCGCCAATGTGTGCCTAAAAGAAAAAATAATGTGTCAAAAAGTCTATGAAGCGCTTTTTTGACATCTTTCTTTCTTTTGTCACGTTTTGTACTGTCGGAGGTCCATACTGCGCAATCTTTCATCGAACAAATCTGATTGGTTGAAAAATATCTGAAGTTCGGGTCGCAATTTTTCATGAAAGGTTGGTGGTGGGTCCTGAGGCATGACCAGTTGAGAACCACTGGTCTAAGTAACCTGTTCTTCATTCATAGCTCCACTCAATCACTCCTGAGAGCTGGCAGACTTCTACTTTTTTTTTCTTTTTTATACACCTTGCTTATGGGCTTCTCAAAGATGTAACTCAAGTTATTCAACCTCTGATAGAGGTTTGTTTTCAGGTGCACATGCTTGTTGAAAAAGCATGTGTTTCATTTGAAATCTCTTTCTGTCTTCTTGACCCAGCTGGTTTGGGCAGATGGCTGTTCCCCAATGAGTCTGGTTCGGCTTAAGGTTTTTGCTTGTTTAATAAAAAAAAAAAAAAACGTTCTTGCTGCAAAGTGTTTGTTTGAGGAGAATTAACTTTGGCCACTGTAAATAGGTGTAACAAAGAATATGGTCCAGACCTTGTCTTTGTGCAAAGTGTCATGGAATAACTTTTGCTGCGATTATGAACTACACAAACAAGTTTATTGAAAAATCTAGATGAAAAATTAAACATCCCCATTTGCTGTTTTGTTGGAACTACAGACCCTTCCAGCTGCACATTAAAACCCAGTATATTATGATGACCTTACTGGATTAACAGTGTTATCTTTTATATGAATGTTATACAACAACACCACACGAGATTTCTACATTTTGAGAGAAAGGTTGGAAAATAAATTCACTTGTAGGCTGCCATTGTAGTTTCCACTGCAATCCACTCTGGTGACTGACATCAGATGGTTGCATCGTTCTTCCCCTAATACTCTTTTCTGTATGTGAGTGTCATCCGTTTGAGCTCACTGTTAGTGAAGGGGACAATAATAAAGAGGTTACTTGCAATGTTGATCTCTGGATGTCACTAACCAGCGGGGATTGCAATGGAAACAACGAGAGCGGCCCACAAGTGAATATATATATATTTTTTTTTTGTACGTCATACATATAAGATAACAATGTAAATCCAATAAGTTAAAACAATTCTAATTAATAAACAAGGTTATTTTAAACAACAGCACCTCTTCGACTGCTACTCAGTTCCAAGGCATCCAACAGGGTTCAGTCCTTGGTCCTCACCTGTTCTTTGTCTATTTAGCCACTTTTATACTGCGCTTACGAAAAAGTGCCGTAACTAAGCCCAGCTTTGTACATTCATATTGACTCCGCAATGGCGTAATATTCTTGTCCCAGTCACATTTTGTGGTTGGGAGAGCACAGCACATCGGGAGCTCCACAGACACACTGTCAGACATGCACAAACACACAACTTTCACTACCCGCTGGCTCAGCTGATCCTGTCTCACCCTGTAACGCCACTTTGTTACTACCTCCAAAGACGGTACAGGGGGGATCACTCTGTCCCCCAATTAAGCCTCCGGGACATTCAGAGTGATAGCGAAACGTCACAGGGACATAAATATTGTGCCTTGAAACAGCATCCTGAATAGGACTTTTGTTAATCCTCCATTCTCCAGCCTGATCCTGTCTTACTGATATTAGAGCCCAGCTGTAAGTCAACTTTCTAACCCTAACCTTTTCTAAGTACAGAATAACATGATTGTTTGCTAAAACCACAAACAGTATCTCCCTCAAAACTGACAATTTCACTCAATCCCTACGCAACTATTGGCTTAAAGCTGACTGAAACTCCATTTCTAAACAGCCTTCTCAAATGTTTTTTTGTTTTTGTTCTAACTTTCTTCTTCTTATTTACCGGATAAAAAAAAAGCTACTGATAAATATTGCAGTGACACTTGGGTTAAGGGCAGGCACATTTAATGACTCATGTAATTTGATGTTTTTGTGTGTGGGTGTGTCACTCACCATGGGAAATAGTTGATCCGTACCCTGTTCTTGTAAACCACAATCCCGGCAGACATAACCCCAATAAGAATCTCTGTGTTGCTCTGGTCCTGAAGAGAGGGAAAAGTGGGTTAAGAAATTAGATTAAACTAATTTTCTTGTGCTACATTATAAAGACAGAAACGTTTGATTTAAATGTCTAATGGCATTTTTCTTTCTTGATTACTTCATTGCTGCTCAATTGAAAAAATAAATAGTTTTACTCTAAATTCCTTTATTGATCATTAAAGCCCTTAAAAAACCCCATCATGAAAAACACCCTCATGATATTTGGGGTTTAGGGCCTACCAGAACATGTCACATGGTTTCATGTGATATCAAGTAAACAAGTTTGGCCAATCTGCTTCTCTCTACTGCTCAGCTACATTTCTGCAAGTTGTGGGCTTAAACTCAGCTGTACAAAGCAGCTCCTCCAACTTGTTCTCATTCCTCCTCCGCTACTGCAGAAAAGAAAACATCCTTGGGTCAACAATGTTTTGACTGCAGATTGGGATTTTGTAAAATAAATTCTGATATCACTGGTTAACAGTGAATATAGACTCTTTTTTTTTTTTTTTTTTGATCTCGTGTTTCTCAAAGTTTTTTGTGGAGGAAAGGAAGGAGTGAGATGGACACACTGAAATTTAAGAAGCACTACCAACAGGTCGCATGACTTTTGACTTGGGAGAAAAAACTCTAAAGCCATAGAGAAAAACAGATAACCAAACAGAAACTTCCCTAGAAAGATTTACACACACACACACACACACACACACACACACACACACACACACACACACACACACACACACACACACACACACACACACACACACACACACACACACACACACACACACACACACACACACAAAAGCAGGCAGGTGTTAAGAGTCACTGAGTCAAACCTTACTTACCCTTGCATAGTGCAGCTCAACCCCGTAGAGCTCCAGCGTTCGTGCTGTGTTCAGATAATTAAACTCTGACTCGGCAGGAGATAGACCGCTGAGCGAGGGAGAGAGTGGGAAAAAGAGAGAGAGAAAGAGAGAGAGGGAGTGGGAACATGAGAGAGATAGAGAGAGAGAGAGAGAGGAAGAGAGAGGGAGAAGGGGGGAGACAGAAAGAAAGGGAGAGAAAGAGAGAGAGAGTACAAGGACAGACAGGAATGAGGTTGAAGGTGGGAGCGATGATGACAGGGTAGGAGGGGAGGAGAGTACATCAGAGAGACAGATGGGGGACAGAAAGTGAAGAGGGGTAAAACAAAAGAAAAAGTGTTACTTTTTTAAATGTTACCAAGGTCTCGCTCATGGTGGATAAATAATGCATCTCTCTAAATCACAGAACACGGTGTACAGTCTTAACTTGTCTAGAGATAACCAACATGTTTGAAAGATCTATTTGATTTTTACTAAATAACTGATTTTCTTTTTTTTTTTTTTTTTTTTAATTAGTCAGGTTACAACGTTGATATGTAAAGTAAACTTAGACAATGTTTCCATGTGAACTAGCAGTATTTGGGCTTTATCTAACTGTAGCTAACTACATTTAACATTTTACTGAACACATGACACCATGACCATGATAGAGCTGCTTTTTCTCATCTTGTCTTTTACTGATGATAGGACCCAGGAAACATTGTTGTTTTAATACTGGATGGGAATCTTGATTAATTAAAGGACTGTTTGTGTGTTAGCATAAACCTGAATGTCTTCTTTTTTTTTTTTTTTTTTTTTTTTACAGATTCCTGAATTAAGAAATTTTTTTTTCATATAGTTCAATATTATGTGCTCATGTGAAAAAATACAGAACTTCAACTACAGCAAACATAAACTGTATAGTTATAACAGTTTCTTGTACGTGTATGAGCATCTGTGTGCTTGAATCTGTGTCTCTGTGTACCTGTGCTGCTGGTGATGTTTTGAGACCTCTTTGTGGAAGTCTTGAGGGGGATTGGGGATGAAGCAGTATTCCGACAGATAGCCGGATGAATGCTCCGTTTCACTGTAATCCCCCAGTTCAGCTAAAGGGGGGGGGGGAGAGGGAGAGAGAGAGAGAGAGAGAGATAGATTGTCAATGCATCCTTGCTATCCCAATTGAACAGTCATAGTGGAGAAATGATTAATTCATTTTTTTTGTAATAAACTGGTGCAAATCAACGCATAGCAAAATCTGGTAAATCTAAATCTCTCTAACAAAGAGAACGGTTTATCCTTGTGTCATTGAAAACATGCAAGTCAAATACTGGTCTTGACTTGTGTGCCATGTTTTATAATTGAGTTGTTTCTTCTAACGCATTGTCCGAGCATAATCTATCATTTTCTGACCACAACTTGCTTATTTACAGCAGAAATGGACAACTGACAATGAGAACCATCGAGCCAATTCAACCATAACCATCTGAAGTGAAAAATATTCTCAGGATACAAATGTTTTATGCTATAGCTTGACAACAAAGAAATAACACCAAACCAGCAACAAACATGGAGCCTTTGTCATCATCCTTTGTTTTTTTCACATATCTTTCTTTGACTCATAGTGTTGGATGTTTCTTGTTTAATTTGTGGTGTGAATGAGTTTACTCTGGGGAGCTTCTGTACTATTACAATCTCCATCATACAAAAATGAAGCTTCACACCTCGGCTGAAAATTCTCACAGCCTCTAACAATCCTCTTCGATGACAAAAGTGTGCATTTTATCCTTGTGCACATACAGGATATCTCTGGATTTAATCTTAGTGTTGAGGACCACAGAACAATGGAATCATTCTGTGCATTGAAGTGTTATTTCATATGGAGGTGCATGAGTTAGTGTTACTATGCCCTTTCAGATCTTGAACCAAGCCAAGTAGCAACACAAGCCTGGTACAGTCATGTTATCAGGAAATATACCAAGCTGGTCCAAAGAGATGCTAAGATTGTTAATGTGAATACAGCAAATCAAATCAAATCCATGTCGTTTGACAAATGAAAATCAAATAGTAGATCATATAGCACGGACCAAAGCCTTTCAAACATGCCTCAAAATATCAGATGAAAGAACAAATCAGTTGAACTACAATATAAAGAAAGTAGGGATTTTATATATGATACTCAAAGATCTATGTTAGCTCTCTGAGCGCTCACAGTGAACGAGCACAAAGCAAATCACCAAAGCCTTTAGCTCACTAGCTGGCAGTCGAAGCTCAGAATCATCAATTCGCTCAAGTAGTCCCTGGACTAACCTTAGTAGCCAGTAGCCTAAGCATATTGAGCGACAAATCAATTCAAGCTGAACAGCTTATTGATGTGCACACTCCAGGGAGAAATTTATGTTCAGCCAATAGCTTACATCTTCACACAGTGGGCTGGTGTTTCTTTTTTTTTTATGCTGTGGTCATGACTTAAACAAGATTCAATGTTAAGGCCAATGAAGCTCAAAGGACTGGCTGACAGCCTGATCGCTCCGATTGTGTCCATCTTTGGATGTGAAATCCATATGCAAGCGATGACAGGATTTAAGTGGAAAGACTAACCTGAGCTCATTCTTCTTTAAAATGATTTTATTGAGCAGTTGAACCATTAAAAGAAGATATTAAACTCTCTGTTTGAGATGATGGATTTATGTTTTTTTGGGGGGGTTAACCTGGTGTAAGTGTAGATGCATGCATGATTTCCCTAAGCTTACCCTAAACAACAATTGATAGAAAATCTGATTGTATGTTTACTCTATAAGCACCCAGCGCTATCAATATGAATACATTTTAAAAAGCAGCCGTATGCAAATCAATTAAAAACAGCTTTAAGGCCTTGACACACCATGGAGATTGTGAGCGATCGTCGCCCTAGTTTTTGTGGTGTGTCCAGCTCTGTCACTACCCATCAGCCCTGTCGGTCCCCTCCGCCTTTTTTTCGCCGAAAAGACATGTTGAATCAGTGTAGGTATGTGTGTTGGTAAGAGTAATCACTGTGATTGGCTGTTCAGCTAGGCGAATCGGTGCACAAGAAGAAAAACAGAAATAAACGACTTCAACTTTTTATCAGACATTATTCTCGATTAAAAGTGCCTATATCACGAGTGGTGAGCACACGGTGTGAAAATGGTCTTCTCGTATCATAACAATGGTTCATGTATCCGCATTCTTCTCTTTCCTCGTCCTCTTCCGGTTTCGCCTTTTTAGAATAACGATTACAGACTACCGCCCCCTGCTGGCATGGAGAGTTATTTCCTCTCATGCATGCGCAGTACATGGTGGTTGGCCGTCTGCTGTAGTCTTTGCGGTGTGTTCAAGTGCAACTTTTTTGGCCGAGACAAAAGGCGTCGGGAGGCGTCTTGAGGTGATGCCACAGTCGACCTTCGTCGCCACTAGTTCTTACTTGGTGTGTCAGGGCCTTTAGTGTTTGATGATGCAACATTTTCATAAATATGAAATGCTGCATTAACCAAGGCCACATCTCCTGTTAAAGAACAGTATAAATAAAAATGGGGGTATTTCCGGATTTCTTTCACCAAAATGCCTCGATACTAAGGAGGGGAATGCCGTGCTTTTCAGACAGCATTTGGTCAATTTAAAACAAGAATCCAGGCCTGCTGGGTGGGATTTGTGGTGTGTTGAGAATGCATGCGTAAGTGTAGGATTTAAAGTGATCACTGCTGGCACTTGGGGCTCAGCTAACTGAATTAGCAGCATAGCAGCTGCTTCAAGACGGGTTTTTATTTTTATTTTCCCAAAGCAAACATTTATCTTCATAATCTGGGCTGGCACTGAGGGAAGTGACAACATGCACCTAGCAACCGAGTGTGCGTGTGTGTGCATGTGTGTGTGGCTGGGGGTAAAAAGCAGTAGTGTCATGATGTTGGTAGTCTAGACCAAATCTCTTCACTGACCTATATACAGTAGCTGTGCAAATTCCCTACAAAATACACCAGAGAGGTGGAGGAGAGAGGAGGGAGGCGGCAGAAAAAAAGGGATAAGCAGAGAGTGATGAGAAAGACCAAACAGAGATAAAAAGATAGAGACAGACAGAAGGCAAAACAGGCTGCGTGAAAACAATGAGCAGCAGTTAAAAAAAAAAAAAAAAAAAGAGAGAGAGAGAAAGAGCGAGTGAGACGGACAGACAGAGCAGTGTGTCAGGAGTCATTATTGTGATGACAGAGGGGCCCAGTCAGCATTTAACCCACACGCTACATCACAACAGTAGATGAGATTAGCGCTGAGGCTGAAAGTCCGCTGGCATGAGCTCGGCTGTGGGTCGGAAGAGACGGTTTTTAAACCAGTGGTTTCTGCTACATGTCAGCCATGAGGTGCTGGAACAGTGTTATAAGCAAGGAACAAAACAGAGGAGCTGCTGAGTGCTATATCATTTATCTGTTTGCCAAGTAAATGTCGGCTTTAAAATGTCTGCTTCTGTCATTTATTGTCAATTCTATTCTGAAAACAATATCATCAGAGATTTTGTTCTTTTAGGCTTTAAGTACAAAGCTTCACGGTTTCTAGAAATACTTTCCATTTGTTTACCTCCCCATATCTGGCCAACAAGGAGTCCCAACAGTGAAGAAAAGTGAACCAACACTACATTCAATATTGATGTCATTGCAGACACAATCAAATATCACCACACGGCTTAATTGAATCATAATGGCTTCGGAGCACCGGCTATAAATGCACTGGAGCGACCACAGTCATTACATTTAACAGTGTGAGCAGCTTAAGACAGGCCTAATGAATTGCCTTTTCCACCGCTGTGTGTAGAGTGGATGTATCCAGGGAGCAGTACTTACATTGAACAGCATAGGATGCCAGCAGTGCTGCCGTGTTGTGTGGACAGGGCAATCTGGAAATCACAGGAACACACACACAAAATCTTACATAAAGATATTCAGTATGGGATCAATGCACAATACAATATAGCTCATTTGAAAGATTTATAAGAACTGTTACATCTCTTGTGAGAATTCAGATATAAAACAATCTCAAATGCAACAACTATAACTCTATTGCAGCCGCTCTGTGTGAGGTTACTGTCTCTCTACAGCGACAGCTAATATGCAAAGGACACACTCACCTTCCAGTTAATAAATCCTGCTTGATCTGAAGGAAATATTGGTACCTGAGAGGGGACAACACAATGCATTAGGATAAGAGACCAGTGCAAAAATCCCTATCATTTCTGATGGTAGATACCCTTTAGAAGAGGTCTTTGTTTAAAGGGGCTATATGTAACTTTCAAAAATACTGCGCTTGTAGCGATACCGCATGACCGTTAGGCGAACCGCACCAGTAACCTGTTGCTCGCTCTCCCTTGCGAGCTCGTCATACGTGCTCGTACGTACACAAACGAGCATCATCATCGGCCGCGAAACACTGGATATTTACCGGCATAATGTTTACAGAGGAGGTAAGTGGTCATACACATGTGAAAGTCTGTGAAGGAGTCTGTGTGTCTGTATTCATTCATCATCCTACAAACGAGAGCAGGAGTGAGTGATGAGTTTGTCCGCCTTTGAGAGCTCCTAGGGCGGATAGAAGTGTGTGGAAGGCGGCATCTGGCTATATCGGGAGTTTGTACTGTTGATCTCTGTAAGCGGAGCGGAGTGAGGAGGACGTTGCATAAAATGTCACTTCCTGGAGCTTTCGCGGAAAATACGACCTGGGGAAACTTTTTATACAGGCAACACAGATCGACAGTGAACATCTACTTTTTCACATCAGTTAACCGTTCGCTTATTAATGGGCGATAAAAAACGATTTATACCTGTAAAAAGTTACATATAGCCCCTTTAATTAGAAGTATAATTAAGCCCTTTTTTTCTTTGAGAACTGTCTCTCCTGGGGTGGAGATGGTCTATTGGTTAGGTTGCTCCGCATGCTACAGTCCTCCAAGAGTGAGGCCCGGGTTCGAGATCGACCTATGCCTCATTTCCCACATGTCATTCCCAACTCTCTCTCTCTCCCAGGCTTCCTACTCTATCCACGGTGCCATCAAAATAAAGGAAAAAAGCCTCAAAATAAATCTTTCCTTTCTTGTCCTATTCAAATAAATGTTCATGATAAACCTCACAGAATTGTAAGAACATGTTCTTATAATTTAAACTGATTACTAAGGTAGTTTTAAGGAGGGAGGATAAGCAGAGAAAACAGTCTTGCTTAACTATCAGGATCGGGTGTTAGACTTGACTGGATTGCACAACACACCAGATTCACATTTCAGATCCATGGCTCCCTCCCCGCTGTAACAAGCTGTATACAAAGTGTTAATGAAGCTCAGGGAGCGAGGCCACGACTGAGAGACTGAAATAAACAGCAGGCGGAAAAGGCGATATGGTGCTGTGACGCCTCCTCTGCATGGTGTTTATGTAGAGCTGCGCTGTTGCGGACCTTATGTTTGCAGAAGTGTGGGTTGGAGTCCACATAATGGCCTTGATACAAAACATACAGATTTCTTATTTTCCTTTAATGAGCAAGAATCCACCAGAGAATGAAGCGCCGGTCCTGGGTTTTCATTTACTGCCTATAATTAGATCCCAAAAGCTGTTCTCATATTACCAACCTTTATATTATGTTCTTGTTTACTGAACATGTACAGAACATAAATATGTTTACTAAGCATGAAATATGTCCCTTCTTGTATGATGAGCTGGGGGACGTTGTGTACCCATTCTGAGCTGTGTTCTCCATCGTGGTAATTGTACCAATTGTTTACTTCAGTGGCAGCTCGCCAGCAGTTTAATCTGATGATAAATCTGCTGCCAAATAATCCTACATACTTAGTGATGTATGCATCCATGCTGGCCACACCAGGGATGTCACGTAACAATGCAAACATTTAACTACCAAAGCGGGGATACAGCCATAACGCCCATATCCCAGGAGGAGGGCAGGGAGGATTGTGATTGGTCAGTTTGTGTTTCCTCCATCACGCTACTCTTGCCTCTTGGCAGTAGACATAGTAAAGAGAGTAAATGTAATAAAAAAACAGAGACTCCTCTCTTCTTCAGTATAGCTATGTCGTGGTTATTTCTGTAACATGAATAAGAAACAACAGGAGACAGGACAATAAGAGATTGACGTTTCACAGGTTTAATTACATTTATAACACGTTACAGGGAAATTGGCCATATCCACCAGGCACGAAGAGAGCGGGAAGAATGCGCACTGAGCCTCTCTTGTGTCTGCTTTTTTAAAATTAGAGCACGACTGATTTATCGACCAGCCGATATTAGCATATCACATGACTAATGGTACCGGCTAATTTGAACTCAGATACAACTAGGTTTATTCAATTTAAGTCGAGTATTTCATTTAATATAGTTTTTCATTATAATTCTTTATTTCTAAGTAAAGATGAGTGTTTCAGTGCGCTGATGTTATTCCGGATAATTAAAGGCTTTTGTATAACTGTAAAAATAATCTTGTCTTAATTATAACTCTTTGTGTGTTTGAAAAAAAAAAAGTGTTTGATAAAAGCATTTTTTAAGGGATCACCACAATCAATGTTTGTATATCAACAATATGTTGCTGACAATATGTTGTATGTATATATATATATATATATATATATATATATATATATATATATATACACAATATGTATATATACATATGCAATATGTTTGTATATATTCACAATCTCGTGTGTGAACAAAAGAGTGTTTTTAGTGGGAGGTTACGGCAGCTAAGCTGCAAAAAGGACAGATTTAAAAATACTTTTTTACCTACTGCAATTGCACTTTATAGCGACTCCCCTTTAAGTAAGGACAGAAGACATTTAAACTTTTAAACTTTAGCCTGAGCTGCATATATATATATATCAAACTGTATTTTGCACCTGTATATTTGCACAATTGACTGCTTTTTTATAATAATTCTTTTTTTATATCTATCATACTATGCACTGGCAGAGCTAGTATTTTGTACTGTTATCTATGAGTAACAGCTACTTATGCACATGGACCATCCATAACACTTTTCTATCCTGGCTATGTATTGTGGGCTCATGTTTTTTGTATGGGTGGGATATGTATGTACATATGTGTTGTGTTGTGTGTTTGTATGTATGCTGGCTGCTGGAACACCTACATTTCCCTGCTGGGATGAATAAAGTATATCTTATCTTATATCCATATCCACGACCTCTAAAGGTCGAAGATACATCTAAGGAAGATATCGGCTGATATATCGTTATTGGAATTTATTTCTTGAGCTTGTATAGCTTCTCTAGTCTTCTGACTACTCGAAACGCTTTTACACCGCATGTCACACCTTCCCATTCCCACACTGATGGTAGAGGTTAACCCAAGTGACCATCAGAAGTAACTACTCCCATTCATACACATGCATACACCACTGACGAAGCAGTGGGAGCAATTCGGGGTTAAGTTTCTTGCCCAAGGACACATCGGACATGTTGCTGCAGGAGCTGGGGATCGAACCCCAAACTTTCCGGTTGAGAGGCGACAGACACTACCAACAGAGCCACAGCCGCCCCCTCTCTACCTAATATCAGTATCGGCCCCAAAAATCCCAGATAGGTCAGGACCTATTTTATACACATTAGAATAAAACTTTACTCACACCTGTAAGTGGTTCTTCTCTGACATGTTCACTTCATTCGTTTTTTAAAAAAAATGAATCTTCACCTATGTCCATAGAGGCATTTGTTTTATACTGTGCTTGATAATTTCCCAACACATGCTTCAGCCTTACTGCTCAAAGAGGTCACCACTCTTTATTTTTTTTGAATAAAGCAGCACAAACACAAAGACTGCTCCTCGTCAGTGTCCTAATCAGCAGGGGGAATAATCACATCACAAACTGAGTGATATCGTGTGAAAAGCGGCAGAGTGAGTCACTGTGTTGTTGACCTTTTCATCATTATCATCCAGTGCTCAGTGAACAAGAGAAATCCAACACTGACAACATGTCAATCTCTAAATCTACACTACAAACATCTTGATGCCTCTGAAACAGCTTTCAAGTTTAAATGAACTATTCTTCAGTATTTAACCCTTCCATCAGATGATATTAAGCATTCACATATATCTCACATTCAACACTCTTACCGTGTGTATTCTTCCTGAAGTTTGTTGGGGTCAGTCACAAAGAATTTGACTCTGAAGCTCAGGTTATGGGGAGACCCTAAAGAAACATTGAAGGTAAACAGTTAGAGGGGGGGAGAGAGGGTGCACGACATGTCAGATTTCTAAATAGAATGTTTATTATACTAAAACTCGGTCAAGTCAAATGTCTGTGAGACAACATGTGCATGTATTTGTGATGTGTGAATAAAGATGTGAAAGTATGCGCTTTATCTAAAGATGATCAAAGAGTATTAGAGTTTTTAATTTACATGATGATAATGTAGTAACAGTAGAAAAAGACAAACGTCATGTTATACTTCTTGAAAAGAGAAGCCAGTAGTTAAGACCAAAGAGAAACTATTATTCAAGGTTCTCACCATTTCATCTTTTTTTTCTTACTCTTACAAGAGTGAAAACAAGTACGGAAAAAAAAGACCCAAAGGGTAAAAAAAAAAAAGAATGCCGACATTTGTACAAACATGTCGGTATAATTCAAAGTATTGTGTTAAAAGTAAAATCCTGCGGTTGTTCTTCAATGACTCCATCACCCGGCATGAAAACAGAGTTGAAACCCAGTTCAATCATTGCTCGAGGGGCGACTGTATTTCTCACTTTGGCTTCTTCTTAATTGTTCTACATGTTACAAATTCTATTACTCATTATCAAAAAAGAGTGGAGTTGAAATGGAGTTTAGCTGTTGCTTAAGGCAGACTGAGAATGTTTTAACTGGACACTTTTTGCTTTAGGTGGAGTGTGGATTATTAACAGTAGAGTAAGGCCAGACCGCTTCACACTGTTTGTGAAAACTAAGCAATTAAGTTGGACATCAGTGACCTGTCTCTGCTTTAAGATGCTGATGCTGATTCCTGAAAATGCTTTGAACAGGTTAAGTTAAGGTGGTATGTGTTGTGTGTGTTTCACCTACTTTTTAACTGTTTCCTGATGGGCTTGTTGGGATCGAGCCAGCGCTGTAAAATATTGATTGAGAGACACTTAGAGACACCAGAACCTTTCCACAGCATGAACACACAACGTCAATTATTCACCACAGGCCACACACACACACACACACACACACACACACACACACACACACACACACACACACACACACACACACACACACACACACACACACACACACACACACACACACACACACACTGTGCACATAGACACTAACACAGCTACAGTATATGCATATATTTCCTATATGCAGTGAGATGTTGTAAGTGTACACTCTGGCACTTTATGCTTCTGATTTTATGAGACTGATCCAAACACAGAGCATCTCTAGAGACAAACACATGTATCTTATATTCATGCACACACACAGTCATGACCATGACCTTTTGCTGAACGTAATTCACGATATTCAATCCATTTTCCTCTGACATCATGCTCAGGGTGGGAAGATGAAATGCTGTTATAATGTGGAACAGCTTCGTTGCCACTCGGAAGTCTTATAAATGTTGTAAATCTGACAAATTATCATCATCACACTGTTGTAAAATTTGATCCGCAACTGAAAGACTGCAATTTAGAGACTATCTGAAGGGACTTTTTGTTCTCCCTTGGTTGGTGAAGTTCACCAACCAAGGGAGAACAAATCATCTACCACTGACAACACATTCAAGGGTAAATTAATGTAACCACAACCCAGCCAGAAATACAGTTTCAATTCTATTTTAGGTTTTTCTTTCTTTGGGGCTTTTTTTATGCCTTTTATTGGAGATTCTGAAATTGGGGACAGAGCGAAACACATGTTTGAAAGGAGCCACAGGTTGGAATTGAACCCAGGCCGCCCGCTTTCAGGACTACAACCTCTGTACATGGGGCAAGCTCCCTAACCACTCGGCCATCAGCGGCCCTGCTTTCCCTTTTTTTGATCGGCTGCTGAAGAGAAACAGGAAATGTGGGGTAGAGGGATTAGGGATGATATACAGCATTTACCCAGAAACCAGTTTGTCATGGACTATGCCTCTGTGGTGCATTGGGCGCCTAACGAGGAACAACAGGGAAATCAATTATTTCTGAAATATGGACAAACATCTTCAACACATTAACTGTACTGAAGCCTCATGGGACTTTCTTATCACACAATGTGAGACTATTTAACTGTAATGTCAGCTAGGGAGGGGTTGAATGCTAACATGAGCTGATGTCTAATAGTAGCTAAGAAGTTATCCGATACTTCCCTAAAAAGATACACTGCATAGCCCTCTACATTTTTGCTTTCCACAGTCTTTTTTTAAGCTTTTTTTTTTAATAAGGAAGCAGTGGGATTAAGAGTGTTGCCGATATTTATTCAACTTGCAAACAGAAAGACAGCAGCATGACATAATAACAGCATTTAATAATCCCACCCACAAGGATGTCACAGGAATGATCGCTGTTTATATATGATCAATGTCAATCCCTCTGCTTTTACCAGCTGTGTTTTATGGCTGGCACATGCAGCGCGACGTGTCATTCACACACACAAAATAAATATGCATATACACACACACTCTTATGGATTACAAACATGATACTCACTGGTGAATCTAAGGAGTCATCAGACAAGTGCACGCCAAAGTAGTCTCTCTCGGTCAGCTCCAGGTGCTTAAAGACAGCATCCAGCAACACCTGGCCATGATCCGACTTCTGCAGAGAGGGACAGGAAACACACTCAGTCAAAGTTTGTTGCTTACCGGTCATTTCCACTCTAAAAGAAGAAAAAGGAAGGACGGACACATTTTACACAAAGAGCTCTGAATCATGTCCGATCCTCTTTGTCGAAAGGTCAGAGAAGGAGCAAGGGCGAGAGACAGAGAGAGAGAGAGAGAGAGGGGAAGTAATTAAAGCATATCCTGCCCCATATTATATCAAGACAGAAGCGTAGTGCTGTGACTCTTCAAAGAAAAGAAATCCCGTTTTCCCTTCACAGAAGTCTAAATAATTTAATTGCTCTCCTCGCTACTGAAACATTTCTCCTCGCTAGGATTCACGTGTGATTCATCCATCGAGTCTTAACTAATATCTTTCCAACCACACAGGGAAGAACATGTATAAGGGATTAAGCAGATGCGCGCCTGAGGGCTACTGTCATATATTTTTCTGTGTGGTTGATTCAGTGACCGTGTAACGCCATCTGACATCTTTGAGCAATAAAGCAAAGATGTATAGTCCATAAAAAAACAAATGTAAATGTCAATGTGGAAATTCAACACAAACTGTATGTTAAACCTCTTCCTCCTTCAAAACTGTGACCCAGAGACAAGTGACACACTGAGGTGTGTGTCGAGCTACGATGAATTTAAAATGTAGATCAAATGTAGACATAATTACACGTTATTATATATACATTTTATTTCATGTCTTACACACGCCAAATGTCTTAAAGGGACAGTAACATTTAGTGTCATGGCTTGATGGGTAAGCATCTGATCTCAATCAATCAGATTTGATCACTTTACCAAAAGAGCCGCTAGAGACCTTACTCATTTTTATATCATCTACAAAGACCCAATATTAATCCATCATATCTTTATTCTTTTATTTATTGTTGTTGTTGCTCTGTTTGTCTCTATCCTTCTTCCTGAATCTTCCTCTATCCAACTTTCTAAGCCCAACACAGTTTAGGCAGGTGGCTGATCAAGATGATTCTGCTTTTGTTCAGGGTTTCTGCCTCTTAAAGGAAGCGTGTGAGAAGAATGTCCCTAAACAAATGCTAAGTAAAAACTATTACTCCAATAATATGAATTAATTTCCATTATGTGAAATCGTCTGCATACAGGAATCTATTTAACATGAAAAACTAAAGCCACAAAGGCTGCATTGTTCAATATTGACAACAATTCAGCCTTTTACCTCCATAACTAACTGGAAACAGTTTTACAAGTGCAAACAGGATGTGTGGCCAACTGTTCTCTTGAAAGTGTCAGGAGATCAGAAAGCAGCGGATACAGACGAGCCAGGAGCTTACTACCGAGGAACACTTGGCACCAAACGAAAGCCAGAGCAGGAAAAAAAAAAAAGAAAGAAAGAAAGAAAAAGAGTTCAACACTGAAACCACACCGTCTGTCTGTGGTCAAGCTTACATCAAAGAAAGATGTGGAAAAAGGAACAATTCAGAGAAAGAGAGCGAGGCTTCAGGAAGGTAATTAAATTCAAGTGAATCAATGAGTGGGTCCTTTAATGTGGTTAAGTAACTTCAAACCTTCTGCTGGCAAACGCTTCGGACAGTAAGCGCTTTGCTATAATCGAACAGGAAGCAAAAAGAATGCAAGAGTTCCTCATTTGTGTCTTTACGGTTCGTTAAGATCAGATCTGTCCCATCTCTAAATAAAACCAATGGTAGGATTTAGTGAAAAAAAAAAAAAAAAAAAAAGGTAGGGACAGTGGTCGAACTACAAGAGAACCCTGTTGTAATACAAACAGATCAGCTCTAAAAGACAGGACAGAGGGCGGTGGGGAAGGGGGGGGAAGAGGTGTAGGGAAACAGGAAGAAGGCAGAGGAATTATTTATCAAACACATCATTAATATCCCATCGTTTCATGAGAGAGTAGGAAGGGCGAGAGGACAAACTGTGGGACCGCAAGTGGAGCAGAAATTCACACCTGATCCTGCCGCGACTTTGAGAGAGAAGGAGGGGGAGAGAGAGAGAGAGAGAGAGAGCGAGCGAGAGTGTGAGTGTGTAACTCCATCAGGGCTCCCATGGGAGAACGTACACACACACACACACACACACACACACACACAAGGTGCTCTAGTAGTCTACTGCTCTCCTTTACCCTGGTGACACACTTTTACAGCACAGCATGTGTACATTTTGTGTGTGTGTGTGTGTGTGGGGGTGTGTGTGTGTGTGTGAAGGAAACAGAGGGAATGATAGTTGACAATTGACATGTCGACATGGCAACCCTCAAGGATCACCGGCAGTCTTTTAGCGCTGTGTGTGGAAGTGTGTCTGCTCGCTATCTTGTGCTGTCAAAGCCTTGTTAAGTCAGTGAGTCAACCCTCATTCCCTCTGCGCTCCTTCCCTCCCCTCTCGCTCACTTCCCTACAGCTTTACTAGCACGTCTGGATGACAGGGAAATTGAATGAAGCGGTTTCAAACATGTTCTTTTCAGCGTCACAGTCTTACAGTACTTCAAGAAACATGAAGTTACCTCATACCGTCATGTTTCTTCATTATGTAACTGACCAGGTAAGTTTAAATACGAAAGTGAAACGCAGCACATTAAAAATGTATTTGAGAGCAATACTTTCAACACTGAATCAAAAATATTGGACAATAAAATAACGTCAATTTGTGTTACAAGAAAAGACCAAAAACATCCAAAACCAGGAATAAATGTTAACAAATTCTGATTAAAGGAATGTTCACAAATCCAATTGTTTTGCTTTTGAATCCAAATGTTTATTCGTCATGAACTTTGACAGACCTCTGCTTGATGTCAAACATATTTCCTTTGACCAATCACAATCAAGGTGAAAATCCAGCTCCGTAAATGGCAACAAAAGCCCATGGCATGCAGAAGTGCAAATATCTGCAGTTCCTCAAGTGTCCACTTGAGATCCCATATTATGCTTTTTCTGGTTTTATATGCCCTTTAGTGTGTTTTCCAAGTGTCCTGTGCATGTTTAGGCACATCTATGTGCAAAAATTCAAAGTCCGTGGAAACGCTGTAGCATTAGCCGCATGTAACGCCCGGTTCTAACCCCCCTCGATAAAGATTTGTCAGTGTGGCGTCATTGTCAGTGTGAGATCACTGATCTAAGCCCATTGGCTCGCTGTGGCAAGCCCAGCAGCTCATGTTGACATTTCCGAGAAGCGTGCTGAGCAACTGACCAATAACGACAGAGCGGATCGGCAGACCAATCAGAGCAGACTTGGCCCACGTGGAGTCTAACAGTGTGGGCTCAACAGAGTGTAGCTGACGGACTCAGAGCGTAGAGGGAGCAAGGAGGAGCAGTACAAGAAAACAGACACTTTTTTCGGACTTTAGCTATTGTGAACGTACAAAAGTAGGTACATAGATTAAATATACGAACCCCAAAAAGGGCATAATATGGGCTCTTTAACAAAAGAAATGAACGTGTTTCCAGAACTGGTACAAAAGAAAAACAGCTCATATCCCAATCCCTACAGTGTGTGCCGATTTAGACATGAGTTACTCAAAATAAGGGGCGTGGCTGATCTGACCAGCAGGTAGGTGTACTTTTTGTCAGGAGGATACAGGCCCGCAACTGTCTGACAGTGAAAATGTTATGTAGACTAACAAAACAAGAAACATATTTGCAGTTAAGTATATTGGCTATACACTACATGACATTATTTTTATTTTTTTTGAAACTGACATGTAATCATACTGGCGGCATCATTAACTGGCTCTCGGATTAACACAGTAACCAGTAACCAGTTAAACAATTATTGAGCAATCTGAAGAATTAGGTCAAAAAAACAAAATGAGGATGTGAAAAGACAACCAAGTCTCTAATTTGATTTTTCCCCATGTAAGGCTATTCATAGACATGTCTGAGAAAAACTGCTTCTGTGAGTGTGTGTGTGTGTGTGTGTGTGTGTGTGTGTGTGTGTCTGTCCACTGCTTCCCCTTTGTATGAAGCGGCTTTTCAAGCTGGATGTGTGAGCCCTCTGTGCACTTTTTATACTGTGCTCCCAGGAAACCCATCACCCTGTGTGTGTGTGTGTGTGTGTGTGTGTGTGTGTGTGTGTGTGTGTGTGTGTGTGTGTGTGTGTGTGTCTATATACATACATGTATGTGTTTGCTGGATACCATGTACTTGTGTTCTAAAAGCATGCGTGAGCAGTTGCTGGCTTTGTATGAAAAATAACACAGCCGTACATTGTTAAAACTTAGTCCAGGACATGCACACAAGAGGAGCATGTTACACACACACACACACACACACACACACACACACACACACACACACACACACACACACACACACACACACACACACACACACACACACACACACACACACACACACACACACACACACACACACACACACACACACACACTGTTTTTTTTATATTTTTACTCAACAAGCAACAGAAGCAAACTTATTTTGTTCATCCTGTGGGCTACACACTCAGCAAAAAAAAAAAGACTTCAAAAAGAGCAAAGATAAAAAGAACACCACAACACATACTAAAGGAAAGATCAACAAAGAGGACTGAAGACAGAGACTCATAGAGACATACAGACAGGGAAGAAGAGAGAGAGAGAGAGAGAGAGAGAGAGAGAAAGAAAGAACGAGTGATTAACGATGCGGTTGTGTGAAACAAACGCTCTTTGTGTTGATCTTCATCAGTGCAGCAGCACCACTGACTGAAATAGTGTCTTGTGTGCGTGAGAGCAGGAAAAGAAGAAGAGGGCGACGTGGTGATAGAGCGCAATCAGAACACAAGAGACTGGCTGAGAGGAAGAGAGAGAGAGAGAGAGAGAGAAAGGGAGAGAGATGCTCTGATAAGTTTGTCAAGGATGTTAAGGGGGTGTTCGAGGGGGCTAAAGACCCCCCAAACATCACACACACTGGGCGGAGAGAGGGAAAATCCCAGTATTTTCATGTCAGGCTAATCATGAAATAAAAGTCAATATTACACATTCCTCTTTGTCTCTACAGTGAGCAGCTGAATGTGCTGTATGTACGCGTTTGCATTCAAGAATGATGGCAATTCAGGAATGTGTACGGCAGCTTGCCCGGGCAGGAAAAAAAAAAAAAGAAGAAAAATACGACATAAATGAGGAGTCACTGACAGATACCTCTCAGTCAGTCGGTCTCCATCTGTCCCTCTGTATCCAAAACAAAAACACTTTTTATTTAGGTCTTCCACAGCAACAGGTGTGATGTAGTTGATGCTCGATGTTTTTGTTCTTGTCTTGACAACCATATCTCACAAAGAGTTGGAGGTGAAGCTTTCCAAGGTTCAGCACTCAGCTTCACCACTTGGATAGCTCACTCTTACTTGTGATTTGGTACGAGTTCTTCGTCAATTCATCAGATAAATAGAAAAATATTCCATCTGTTTGAAAAGTTTTCCATCACACCATTGATAAATGACAGTGATCATACTTTGGCAGTGTGTATTTGCTTAGAAAGCTCGTGTGATATAATCCAAAAAGCCCTGCAAACAGACTTTGTGGTGAGACTGTTTACTCAAAAGCCAGTCTTAAGGATTAAATACCTTTTATCAGACTTAATCTACAAAACAACACAACCTTTTTTTTTTTAAATCAATTTGATGGCCAAAGGCAAAATATAAAGAGGGGATCACTGAGTAAGCCTGCATATTGTATATTTAAGCTGCGTACCCTCCCATTTCTGGATGAAGATATAGTTCAGCTCACAGCCACACCCAGCCACCACAGCACAAACACAAATATGCCGAGCCCTTCTCCACACTTTTCACACTAATTCTAAGTCTGTCTCGAACACATAATTAGAAAGAAATAATTATACGAAAACAGAGCAGCCACCTTAGTTTATGTCAGAGATGTCATGCTAACTGTCTGAGATTTTGCTACAACAACTGGGACAGAAACACAGCAGTCACGGTCCAGGTCATTCATCAGTTAACTGAGGGTAAAGCATAATGTGTTGCGTTCTGATTATTGTTTAAATCAGTAAGTTAAGTAATAAGTTGAGTAAAAACATTTCTTTATTCTTTATACTCTACAAATCAGGTATCTCAGATGTCTCTCTCTCTTCATTAACTCTGCTCTGTTCTTCATTTAATTGCTCTGTTTGGGAGCACCAGTAGCTTAGTGGTTCTGTCATATGGAGGCTGTGGTCCTGTAACGAAGCGACTGTGGGTTCAAATCCGACCCCGGCCCTTTGCTGCATGTCACCCCCTCCCCCCGCTCTCTCTTCCCAACATTTCCTGTCTTTCTTCAGCTGTCCTAACCAGTAAAAACAGACAAACAGAAAAAAAAGTTCTGTTTGTCTTTAAATCAATACAGTTTCAATATGCATAATAATGTGAAAACAAAGTGTCTCCACATTCCCTCATAACACTATTCTTAGCTAAGAATAAGTTTTCTTCCAACATATTGATACTATATTTTTAGTAACAAGACTGTTCACTCTTTACTTTTTGCTGCTCAGAGTTGTTTATTATAAAGAGCTACTTGATTACCAAAAGCTCTTGTAAATGGCAAAGAGACCGGTCTGTTGGATGTTTAGTGGTTGCTATGGTTACAGTTTCACGTCACTCGCTCTGAATTAATCCAGCGTGTGACCCAGCTTTTGTTTTTGTATTGAGATGGGTCAGTAGTGGGCTTGGATTGTTTCATTTCTCGTCATCAATCAGGCTCTCAGGCTACGCCAGATTCTGCTCTTCACTTGTATCATTTCTGCCAAAGACTAACTAGCTACAAAGATCATCAATACATGCCCTCATGTGCACCACGAGCACTCTGGTTCCCATGACGAAGTGACCGCTTCTGGATTTTTCACTCTCGGCTAGAATCAAGTTGGCCAGAGAGAGGATCAATAGAAGTATTGTTGCTCTGAGGATGGCTTGGCTTGTCTTTCCAGGAAGTTACTGCCGCTGCAAGGGTCTGATCAATGACATGGACAGAGAGCGAGTCATTCATTCAGCAAGATGAAGGGGGGGGGGTCTCCAGCAGGAAGCAGAGTGGGCAAAAGAGACTGTGTGAGATAGTGATCCACAAATATGGCTGACATGATCATTTTGATTATTTAGCTACAGTAAGTATCAGATATATTACAGTTACTTTGCTTAAAACCGACCATGTAGTCCAAGAAAATGTAATCTAGGGAATAGCAAAGTGACTCGTATAGGTACCGTACGGTTGAGTACCTTATCAAAAAAGTTTAATTTAGCTTCAATTCATTAAAAAATTCATGAAGAGGTTGTAATACAGGGGAAAGAAATGTACAAACCCTTTTTTTTTTGGCAGTCTAATTGTATTTTATATATACATATATATACACACACACACACACACACACACACACACACACACACACACACACACACACACACACACACACACACACACACACACACACACACACACACACACACACACACACACACACACACACACACACACACACACACACACACACACACACACACACACACACACACATATAAATATACAACATTAAGCCTACATTTCTTAAAAAAAAATAAAATAATAATGCACAGCTCAAAGCAGAACATACAGTGATCTTGGTGGATAAGGCAGGAAGAACAGAACACCAACTATGTTTCAGGAGCCAGACGACTAACCAACCACAAGCCAGCTAAATAAATGTTCTTTTCTGTATTGTTTTATACTCTTAATTACAATAATAAGAACGTGGTTTCCTTTCGCGGCTATGGCTCAGTGGTAGAGTCGGTCGTCTCTAAACCGCAAGTATTTGATTCCCCAGCCCCTGCAGCCACATGTCTGATGTGTCTTTGGGCAAGACACTTAACCTCAAATTGCTCCCTCTGCTTCGTCAGTGGTGTGTGAATGTGTGTGAATGGGATTAGAGAATACTGATGGTCACTTTACATAGCAGCCTCTGCAATCAGTGTGTGAATGAGTAGGTGTGACCTGCGGTGTAAAAGCTCTTTGAGTAGTCAGAAAACTAGAAAAGCGCTAAACAAGCTCAAGTCCATTTAGCATTGTTATATCAGTACCCACAATGAAAGAGCTACATCGTGCATATTTGTCATATATCTGTATGTGTGTGCACAGTCTGTGACCTATTGACAGGATGTTATTGGAGGAATTGTATTTTATGACACACAAAGGGAATTCCCCTTCCTGCGCTGTTATAACTCTGATTAAACACGCGGTGACAAAGAGAGACACAAAGAGAAGGAGACAGACGAGAGGATATGTGTCATTACATAAAGAGGGCCGTTCTCGACATCAGTCACAAGTTCATTTGTCACCTGATGTGAAGCTAAACACGGGGTGTGACTTGGTGAGACTTATTGCTTGTGACACAAGATAAAGACTGACTCTGCCTTATCAACCTCCTGAAGTAAAAACTTCAGGGCGAGAAAAAGGTCATACAGGGCACACACATTACAACCATCCACCACCCACCATCAAATAAGTTTAAGGGGATCTCCAGGGCTAAATCTATAGTGATGAGAAGAGTGGGGTGTTATGGGCAGGTGGAGGGGAGGTTAAAAAATGGGGGTCTTAGTACTTTATCTTTTTTGGGGTACTGCACGGATTAATAAATGTTTGATATACTTATTTGCCCGTCAGTAAGACAAAATCATCATCAGAATATAGATTTTTTTTTTAATGATTGCACAAATGGATTGATTTTCATTATTTCGGTTTGAATATAGCAATGACGGTCCTTTGTTTCTACAGAGAATGATCCACATGATGACTATAACAGAAAGGTCATTTGTAATGCACCCATCAATATAAAGACACGCTGATTGACTGATTACTTTGATACTGAAGAAGACTTACAAAACATGAAAATTCCCCGGAAATCTATCCAGTTAAGAAGAGAGCCTTTATTCCATTTCATTACAAAAATACTGCATAAGAGTAAAGAAAAATATCATGATTGAATCAGTGTTGATTTGAGTCAAACACAGAGGTATAGGTAATGGTTAGAGATCGGTACTTACGCTGACTTTGAACGCCTGGACTGTGTTGTCCAGAAGCAGTACGTTGCACACAACCTGTGTGTGCTGCCTGTCTCGCTCCAGCTCCGTCGCCCGGACATTGTAGGATCTGCCAGCAGGCAAGCGGAAGCGCGCGCTCATCACGCTCCTTCCAGGGTCTGCAACAAACCAAAACACACAGCAAGGCGAAGAGAATGAGACAGGAGCTGAAACAGCAAACTGAGCAGGACAACAACAGAAAGGAAAGAACTGGAGCATTTTTAATGGATGCTTGTAATGCACATGCTCATAGGTTAAAAAAAAAAAAAAAAAAAAAAGAACACAATAACTAAATGTGATGTAGGACATGCTCTCTTCACAGCCTTACTGAAGGCAGCCATACAGAGAGACAAGCCTGTACAAGCACAGAGAAGCAGCAAAGACCGAGTGTTTCATAAGAAAAGAATGTCAATGAGTAGGCAAGCTGCAGATTCCCTACTGGGGGATGTGGAAAATGAATAGCAGTACAACACTAAAATGCTCACAAGCTACGATACAGTGAGAAAAAAAAAAGTACCATAAGAAGAGCTTTAAATGTTTAAAAAAAAAAAAAAAAATTCAATGTGACAATATTCATCTGGAAAATAAAGATATTCCAGGTAAAATATAGAAAAGCAATATAATCGGAGGTCCTGGTTTTGCCATGATGAAGCTTTTATGAGATGCCTGCAGCATGCCTTGGTGAAGCGGCTCAAGTGATTGGTTGGCAGATCATGGCAGCACAAACTATGGCTCACAGGGTGTCCTCTCTGCTCATCAGTGGGAATAAATCACAATCCATGTATCTGAAGCTGCTCCATTTGAAACAAACCAAAGACCCATTCTACAGAAGCCTGTAGAATGCAATGCAACTTGGATCCTTGATTATATATCCAAAGAAATATTACTTCTTACACTTTCATTCATAGTTTGTACAATATCTTAACTATGCAGGACATGAATGGATCACAAAGGATGATCATGTGTTCACAAAAAAAGCATACAGTTCAATACTGCCTTAACACAGATGGGTAGAGACTGACATCAAACTGAATTATCTGGGGTGAATAAATAGCACCATACCTTGGAATTTATTTTCCTTTTTTTTGCTATTTAAATGGCTTCATTAGAAAGAAAAAGTCGGTGCATATACCCTCCCTCGCAGAGCAAGCAGGCCAGGGGTTTCCATTTGATCGTGCTCAGCAACTGGCAGCAGATGCTTCATATTTAACCACAGCCCAAAGCTCAACCACCACCACCATCAGACTGCGTCGTCCCCACAACCACCGCATCATTCATGCACGGCCTGATCTGAACTCCACCTCAGCGGCAAGGCAGTGTGGACAACAAGAACTGCATTTTATCCCATACGTCTTGAGATAACACTTACAAATTGGCGCTATACAAATAATGATTGATTGATTGATATACACACACGAGTCATCAATCTTCTCAGCTTGGAAGCTTTAGCAAGTTTCCTCAATGGTAAAACTATTCTTGCAGAGTGAATTGTATGAAACAAGTTAAGTTATACCTAAACTGCTGTCCTGTTTTTATAAACTTGTATAGAGTGAGTAAGTTGGACAGCCAACTTAGCCTCAATAAGACACCTGAAAGGAAAAGCTCTTCTTCTGTGATCATACATGTGATCATACATGTGATCATGTGAATGGACTCCGAGTTTCTCTCTTCTCTTTCTGTTGTCTGCGGTCTCAGCAGCGTTTTCAGTGTTTTCCTACTTTGTTGGGTAACATATGCCACTGCAGTGGGATTTGTGCCCTTCCTGTCCACCTCCCCCCCCTTTTCTTTATTCTTTGGTGATCTGTCTTGACAGGGGACATAATAACCCCCACAAGGGTCATGGCCTCGTCATCAGAAGCTGCTGCATTTTTGACGATGGCTCTGTGTGAGTGTATTTGTGTGTGTGTGTGTGTGTGCATAGTATATATGGAGGGCTCGCTGCGTCTCTGAGCTGCTTGTCACTATACATCAGCACAAACCCCCATGACCACTGGCAGATGGTGTGCACACTGGGTATGTTCACACATACACATACATATCTTTACTTAAAAATGCTGCATTCTCATATCCTGACGCTCAAGATTTACACATCAACATGAGATTAATGCATCTTTTGCAGGTGGATGTTATGATATGCACAGAGTATGATGTATATTATGGGTGATTTGACAAACTATGAAGGCGCATATCATAAGAACAGAAAATATAGAAGCAGCATTAATTGAGCAAGAGAAATGTTTCTGATGCAGGCTCATGTGAGGCGAGGAAACTATGATAACCACGCAGCTAATAATGACTGATAACAAACAACAACCACCCTGATGATGTCACTTTGGTTATATCAGCTCGGGCCTGGTGATCTATTGGTGCAGTGTAAAATTGTAGTTACAAAGTGCTTGCATGTTATTAAAATCACTCCTACTGAAGCAGAAGAAACTGTAACACTGTTGTGAAATTGTGTGCGTGTCCAATGGAGAGAAAAACACTTCAAATATGTGCCAGCAGAGTTTTTAGTCTGCAGCTGCACTTTTGAAACTCTGTGTTCACTGCCAAAGTCAAAGATGACAAAGAAACAACAGAAACTATTTGAAGGGAACTGGAAAAATAATCTTTTAGATGCAGCAGAACATACTCTGAATAACCCAGGGCTTACAAACTGTTGGCTTGCTGGTTTGTTAACAAAGATCATAGCTGGGATGCCGGATGGCCAAGCGGTTATGTCGCACAGCCCATGTTGGGAGGCTATCGTCTTTATCGCAGCGACTGTGGGTTAGCATCCAACCTCGACCCTTTGCTGCATGCCATGCCCCACTCAAAAAAATGGAGGAAAAAAATGACCCAAAACGTTAAAAAGAAAAAGAAAAGAAATGGCTCATAGCTAATCGCATTAACCCATGTTTTAAATCCCAACTGAGATACATTTTCTGATTAGGGTGGTAACAATACCAGATTTTTTAATTTCGATACAATCCTTGTAAGAATAAAACTTATTATAGATTAGAAAACGGTTTTCAAAACCACAGCAACAAAGATAGAAGTCCTAGACACCCATAATTGGACCATTTCTTGTTTTTGAATACCAAAAAGAGCTTTCAGTACAAATGAGTGTTCAATGAATCCTACAACATTTAGGCAAATAACATACAGTTTCATCAGAAAATGCTGCATTATTTAAGGCCTACTTTGGGATATTCAAATGGAACATGCTGTAAATATGTTCTGCTTTATTGCCGCTCGTGTCTGTGTTCCTCTGATTGATTAATATGCATGCGATCTTGGCTTTCACCGGGATGTGATTGGCATCAGACAAATGATGGTAATGTGAAATGATGATCTCTGGTTGAAACCACTTTAAACGTGCATATGGCCCCTGTCAACAACATCTTCATACATTAATAAACCAGCTTCAGCCATATTTACCCACTGCAGAACTTCTATAGGCTGTAAACAAGTAGTCTATGTGTAGTTAGTATGGGATTTTCTAAAGCATGACTGGAGGTAAATTTACTTGATTCAGAATGTGCTTAATTTCTGACAGACACGTCTATCTAAATCTATTTCGACAGACAGATAGGGACTGCTGACAGATCACTTCTTGCTCCGAGTCTTCACACAGATAATGTGACAACGTCTTGTGAATATAGTTGGCTAGCGTGGATTTCCGGAGTTCTGGACCTCAGTGACATCAGAGCGACGAAACAAAGCGCGGCTCGAAGCTGGATCACACTTTATTCACACAATCTTGTTTCCTGGGCAGTTAAACTGGTGGCTCTAACGTCGTATTGCACTTCGACGAACATGCACAGCCAAGCACATAAACACAACCAGCTTACAAGCCAACAAAGGCTATATCCATTATTCACATGGGTCACCTTAACAACACGTTGAAAAATCCAAAATAAAATCCAAGATTCCACATGAATCAGGAAGAATCACATTCCTGCTTCAAAGTTGTTCAAAGATGTGAATACCCTGCAAACCAGCCCTCTGTGTTTTGAGAGGCACATCGCTATCGTCGTTCAAAGTCTCTTAAAAGTCTCATGAGGATTAAAAAAGGCTCTGCGCTCATTTACAGTACATATTAGGGCTGAGAATCTTTGGCTGTCTCTCGATTCAATTTGATTCTTGGTGTCACGATTCGATTCAGAATCTATTTCCGATTCAAAACGATTCTGGACTCATGGTTCCATTAATTCAAAGTCTATTTATGAATTAGTACATACTTCAGGATCTACTCCAGTCATCTGTGAGACTGCTTGAATTTCTTTCTGCTCTATTTGGCATTCTACTGAGTTAAAGAGCTAGCCTTAGCGCTTAGCAGGGTTTCTTGGATTTTTGGAAGACATGAATCGATTTAAAAATCTCAGAAGATAAGAATCTCAATTTTAACATACAACTATTTTTTTCCCCACCTCTAGTACATATGGAGAAGGACAGTGAGATCCAATCAGAAGGGGCTACTGGAGCACATTTGGAGACCCATGTCAATGCTAAGTGTGTAAGTGAATACACAAATAGATTTATATCACGCCCTGAACCTGAGAAATAAACTGAATAAAAGTCTATCATCATCATCCATTAGGATTACTATCATATTTGTAAACACTGGAAGAGATGAAGATGAGTGCATTACTTGTTTTCTCTGGCCTGTCAATTCTTTTTTTTTTTCTTTTTTCTTTTTCTTTTTTTAAAGAGAGAGTTGTAAGCATTGTTGTGACACCACGCTCATTTTGTTACTAAACTGATCACAAGAAGAGATTCATTTGAATGTCTGATCCAGCTCAGCCTAATGACAGTGCTTAACATTTCCAGTGACAATATCCTAGGAGTTGGAAAGTGGGTGTAACACAGTGGGGGCTGGAGTTTGGGCTCCCAGGATTGGATGTGGGCATTTGAACACGCTGAGAGGGTTTAAGAGCGAGGAGCTACCGAGCTGCATAACAGGAAGTGTAGGTGGTTGAATGCTAGCAGGTAGTATCAAACAAAGCGTGACGCCTGCCATCCCGCAGAGATCGATTTATTCTGACTGCCAACAGAGCCACCCCACACACACACACACACACAGCTTTGCAAGCAGCAAAGCTAACATGCAAACCGAAGCAGTCGCAGCACTGTACGC